TTTGCTTGATAAGGAGTAGTAGGCTAGTTAGAGCAACGAGAACTTGATTTGCACATAAAGTTTTTGGTGCAGTTATTGGAGACCAATTTTATTATTGTTAAAAAAAGGTGGAGTTACTAGTTTAAATATGTAACTTCTTGCAATTTATTTTTGTTGTTTGTTTGTGTTTTATTCCGTTTTGCATTCAGGGTGTTTGCTAAGTGTCTATCTATAGCATTTGTGCACGAATCGTGTAATCTTGGTGGTTAAGAGCCGCCACGAGAGCAAACCATGGGTTAATTATTACTCTCGACCGAGGGTTGAGAATATCCATTCTCCAATCAAACATATGAGAAATCTCACATTTGGAATAAAGTCGAGTGTGATAGTCATTGTTCAATTGAGTATTCAAAGTATTCAATTCCACAGATTGAAAGACGACGACTCGGACTATCACGAACACGATTTTATCGCCTTCACCAATAGAATAAAAATAGTGGTGATACTTCAAGAGGCCATCCATTTAAGACCATTCTCATTTTAAATTGGATAGCTAATGAGTGGTTTCTCAATCAACCATGGCTCTCTATCTTTTCTTGGAAGTGCCCCTATGCAAAGTTCATCAAGTGTTAATGTCCCTCCTTCGAAAGCATCTCAACTAAGAGGAGAAATCTTCAACTTTAGCCTAGGAGAAGGAATACCCTTTACATGAAGCTTGGGAGACATACAACTATGTCCTCCACAAATGTCCTAATCATGGTTTTGAAGGTTCGATTCAATCAGATTGCTCCTAAAATGGAAGGTGAATGTAAAGAATTCATCGATACAACCAAATTAGGTACCTATAGAAACAAAACTATGGATCAAGCTCGTGAGCTCTTCAAATAAGTAGCTTTGAGCGAGCGAGATTGGGAAAATGGTAGGAGAAGCAAGACCCTTATCAATTGAGAAGTGCTCGCCACGACTAACCTCATTCTCATTCCCTACCATGAAGAGATTCAACCTACTTACTAAGAACTTGGTCCAGTGATAATATCACTGGTTTTAAAACCTCAGGTTCGTGGTTCAATTTTCTTAAGTATCATTTAATTGGAAAAACAAAAAACCTATATCACCCTCATAAAAAAATATTGAGCATTGACTTGTCAATTCAACGATAATAGAGGAATTTATAAAACTAGGAAGGATGGAGCAAATCTATGTAGTTGAAACCCCCATTTTTCCGCCTCACTCCGAAATTCGAGCTTTAGAATGGAAAGAATGGAAGAAATTATGGGCCAATTTGTATCGTATAAGTTTTGAATTAAGTTTAACCGAGCCAGTTCATTACAATCCTCGTAATCAGCGATCACTTGGTCATTTATCCACTAATTCGAGGGCATTGTAGGTTGGGGGAGGAAAAACAGAAAAAAAGAGAGACAATGTAGCAATGGAGTAAAAACTTTTCCGGTGGGTTTGTCGGGGATAAGCTAAACTCGGAACAGAAAGGCAGCCGTAAACCTGTAAAACTGTTAAAAAATACGAGAGTTTTCAGGTAAAGTAAATTTCTGGGCTGACCTGACCTGACCTGACCTGAGCGAGCGAGCTTCTTCGGTTTAACCGAGGGTCGGTTGGGAGGCTCTTTATAATAAACCCCAGCATTATCCCCACTATAATGCCACGTCTCTGTCCGACCACCACCACCGTCAGATCATCACCGTACCCAGAAATCCCCCCACAGACAAGATCCAGGGCCACGTGGCTCCATCACGAACCATCGATTTGACGGGAGGGGAATAGACGGCTGACTTTTACTGCAGGAAGAGCAGGACCAGAAGAGGTACAGCAGAGAGAGGAAACAGAGGACTATTATTAATATTATTATTGTTTTACATGTTTTTAGCAGTTGAAATTTGGCCATAAAGCCGAAAGCAGATTTCAAAGCTTCCCCTCCGTCCCCTGCCGTTGAAAGGAGGGGAAATAAAAAGGTGAAACAGAGGGGAAGGGGGACCGGCGAGTTCTCCGCCGGCGAGTAGCCGTCAGCAGCCTGCAGCTAAAACCTTTTTTTTTTGGGTACGTAGAGTCGGCTCGCGTGACTCCTCCCGGCTCCCGCAGGGATTGTGGGTCCCACCGGTTTTCCCCCAGGAACAGATTTTTATTTTACCCCGTGGGCCCCACGAGAGTAAACCATTTTATTAATCGGTTAATACTTTAGTTTGGCCTAAACTATACACATACTTTCTACTTTGGCCTGTGGTATTGAAAATTGCTATTCTGGCCTGAACTATGTAGCAAACTTCCTCATTTGGCCTGGAGGCGGGTTTGACCATCAAATTAGACGGTCAAACCTGTTGATCATTAGTCAATGTCCACCTCACTTGCCACGTCAGCTTTGAGGACATAAAAAATTATTTTTTTTATTTCTGAATTTTGTTTTCTTTCGATTAATAAAAATAATAAATCAAAAAAATTAATTAAAAGAACGAAAAAGGGGCCTCAAAGCTGACGTGGCAGGTGAGGTGGCCATTGACTAACGGTCAACAAGTTTGACAGTCTGATTTAACGGTCAAACCCGCCTCCAGGCCAAATGAGGAAGTTTGCTACATAGTTCAGATCAAAATAGTAATTTCCAATACCACGGGCCAAAGTAGAAAGTATGTGTATAGTTCGGGCCAAACTAAGGTATTAACCCTTTATTAATCTATGTGAATTAATTATCACGTTTTTATTTTCTACCGGATGGTTCAATTAATAAATTAATCAATAATATTATGTCACTAATGTGCGAGGAGAGTTCTGATCAAGAGATTGTTTATAGTAGGGCTGTAAAACGGCCTGGTCTGGTTCGAAGTCCGAATCAGATTTAAGTAAGAAGAATCGTGGTTCGATAATGAATGAAATTTTAGAATTAAGGACCGGACCAATATTGCATTTGGTCCGCATTGGTCCAATTTGATCCGGTCCAAAAGTCACTTCCGTCTTTTTTCAGTATTTATAAAATTCACGGGATCTAGGATCAAACCACGTTATATTCAGTTCGATATGATCTGGTCCAAGTGTCAATTTGTTTTTGATAGGAACCAACCCGTTGCACACCCCTGTGCAATTGAACTTCGAAATCGATAATGTAACATGTGGGATCTAGATTTAATTTCATATACCCATCATGTAGTTTATGAAGTCATGTTTGACTTTTTTAAAAAATAATAGGAGAATTAAGGTATAGGTCCAAATTCCCCTTACATTTGTAATTCCCATGTTTTGTGCCGAAACTGGTCAAATATTAGTTGGCTTCAATAATTCCGAGTTATCGGAAGTAGGTTAATTATGGATTCTACATCACATTTTCTTACACGTCTCATCAAGCAAAAAGTAACTCACGGACTTAGAAGTTTTCACAAGTCCAATCCTTGTATTTAAACCAACTGACAATTGTTAATATTGGGAGGTAGACAAAATGTGTGAAGTTTGAACTTTCAATTCCCACAACTTTTAATTCCCACATCCAAATCACCATACATTATTATGTTATTTAAAGAGAACCTTAACTCTGAAATGATAAAATTCATTCTATTCTATCCTTTTGTCCTAAGCGACAAGGGCAGATAAATATGTCTCATCAACAATTAGCATTAGATAGTTCAAGGAGCCCACAAGCGAAGGACTAATCATATTTTATTATCACCACCTAATGAAAACGGATTAATCGAACTGAAGTACGGATGAACGATTATCGAGAAAGAGGGGAAAGATTGATAACAAAGTAATGATTGCTTTGCTTTGCTATGAGATTCTAATCTCAGAATTCTTTCTTCACCATCTTCTGAGTTTGCTTTTTTTTTTTTTTTTTTTTGTCTCTACCTTCTCTCTAATGGAGACGGGCCACGTGGAAGGACGACTCCAGCCCAGTTTCCAATTTCAAACCGACGATATGAAACAAACAGAAGAAGAGTGAAAGGGTAAAAATACTAGAATGGTCCCCCTCCTCTCCCTCCTCCCACCAACTGAAGAAAAAAGGGTCAAGCCATTTTTGCCTTTAGCCGAAGTCGAGTAAAATGTAACCACACAAGTCACACAAACTGCCCGATAAAGGAGAAAGAAAGGTTTGGTTCAGTTGTTGGCTTGTTGCCTCATAACAAAACTAACAATAGAGAGCAAGAGCCCCAAAACAGTGGGGATGGGTACCCTCCCAAAAGGACACACAACTGCTCATTTTGGTTCATTTGGGCAGGCAAGGGAAGTTGAGGAAATGGTAGGGGTTACCCCACAGCAGTTCTGTTTTAGGGACAGAGAAAGAAGAACATTCAATGGAGAGAGAGAGAGAGGATTAATTGCACCCATCATAGGACCCGTGATGGCTAATGCCCTAATCTTCTTTTGCAAGGCTCTCTTCAATAAATGGTGGTGTTGGCGCTTTCTCTTATTTTGTCCCTTGGTATATTATTGCCTCACCTTATTCCAGTTCAATCTGCATTACACCATTTAATGCGACTCCACTTTTCCCTTCTGCGTTGCAGGAAATCAAACACAGTTCCATGATTTGGCCCTGTTTGTGATTGTGTAAGGCATCGAGAAGGTTAGCTAGCTACTAGGTCACGAAGGAAGAAAGAATATAAGACTAGATTGAGAGTAAAGATTGAAGACGGTGGTCAACACTCAACATACTCCACACCCTACAATACTCTTTCTTTTGTGCCACTACCCTAAACCCTACGTTTCGAGTAGCTCTCAAGCTAGGGTAGTTGGACTTGGGTGAGAAGGTTCGTTGATTCTTAATACAGTGGTACACATAAGCGGACTAGAACCGCTGACATCCGCCACAGAATAGATCACTGCTTTTTGGACTCCCGATAGAGGCCAACAAGAGATAATAACTCTAAGCTGAATGTGGCTTACAACTTTCATCATATTGTGCTCTTCAAAGAGCAACTCTTCTCAAGAAGTGCCAAGTTGGGAATCTATTACGACCAACAATTTTTGTGGTTTCGGAGGATCCAACTAGAGGAAAGTAAAGAATGAAAGAGATTCCACCCACCCTCTTTTTTTTGCCAATTTTTTGGTCTTTAATAATCCTGGTTTAAGAATGAGTAATTGACATATTCCACTTTTCTAATTTCATTAGATATCTATCACGAAATCGAAGATGTTAAGAGCGTTGAGCATTACCACTGATCTAAAACACCAGTGGAGGAGACCTTGGGCTGTTGCAGCAGCCCGGTAATCATAAATGGGCCGTTGCCCAGCTAGCCTTGCCAGTCAAGGCCCAACTAAACCTTCTATGTAATTTTCTTTTCAAGGGAAGAAGAAGAAGAAGAAGAAAGATCCATCAACTGTCATTGGCTACATTAGCGTTGACACAACAGGCCACAAAGTTGAATTGCTCAGCAAGAACGGAAGCACTCGAGTCACTCTACGACGCATGATAGACACTGATAGTCTGTTGGAGATGTGACAAACGAGAACAAAGTAGCAGATTTTGTTATCGCAGACATCGAAGGCGAAGGAAAGATGAAGACACTAACTTGTCGTTGCTGAGGTGTTCTTCGAGATCAAGAAGTTGGATTAGCATTGTGCCATCCTTTGGTGCAGGGAGGAATGCTCATGAATTCATCGAACTCCTTCACGTGGATATCACAACACTTCCACTGCGAAAAATAAAATGCACATATGATGGGATTTAAGGAAACAGAGAGAGTTAAGTACGAGACGGCGATAAGAACCTTAAAACACACATGGTAAACGCACCCCTCTTATCCTGTCATGAAAAACAGCAGGCCCTGGATGGTAGGTACAGGCAGTATCATGGTTGTTTATTTCCTTGAAAGTTTGACCGCACCCGGAGTTTCTGCAAGTTTGGGGCTCGTTGATGTTGATTTTCTTCTTAGCTGGAGGAGCGGAAACTTGAGTCTCTGCAGTACTTTTAGCTGGTGCAGCATCTTCTTTAGGTTGTGAACCTAAGTAGAAAAAAAGGCATGATTCAGCAATTAGAGACAGCAAGCACAATGATACGAACAAACCAAATGCACCAACGGAAAACCATTTCTGTTTGCGACGACATTCTACAACAAATCAAACAGTATCCCTACAGACCCGGACAAGCTCAGGCGAAGTTTCATGTAATTGGTCCTCTCTTTAGTAACATGTCATCCCCCATTGTGACAGAACACTTGAAAGGGAGACACAACAGGAGAATGTGGTATATTATAGGTTAAATGTTGTGGTTGAATGCTGTGTTGCAAACAACTAGAGTATCCTAACAGTGAAAGCCTTAGATATAGTGTGTTCACGCTGTCTTTCTCTTCATGTATCGATTGTTCATAGATATTATCAAAATTACATTACCTCCAACACATAAATATATATTTTGTCCTTTTCATAAAGAAAGCTGGATGCAGGAACCTAATGCCTGAGTACTAGCAATTCTTTCCTACAATTGATCTAACCAACCACACATGCTTCCCGGTCAGTAAATAGTTCAAGTATAATGGCTGAAAGAAGAGAACGAAAATTACCATGATCAGAGCAAAAGAAACCCTGCTTGCACCTAGGACAAACTTCTCTGGAGGGTGCACTTGTCGCAGAAGGCACAGAGGGTTTAGAGACAGGGGCCTTTGGAGTTGAATTCACCTTTGCCAAAACTGGCTTCTCGGTAGTGTGTTTACCTGTCTTACATCTTTACCGGAGAAATTATTGGTTAGCACATAATACATATATACCTGTGTAAACTGTTTTTCATTATAGAGAGAAACAATCCACTCAATAAAGGAATGAGCCCTGATGATTCCAATTCTTTTTTTTTGTTGGACAACCAAAGCAGAACTTATGAGTCATGATCACACAAGTTCGGTCCCAAAATCTTCGCTTAACAAATTTCTAATAGAGAGGAATAATGCACATAAACTTACCCTGGAATTTCCAAGAATAAGCTGAAATCATGGCTTTTCTTTTTGCAACAACTCCACTCTTTCATTCCATCATGAAACATGGGCTGTGGAAATGACATCAGAATCAGCTAACAGGTTCACAGTAAGTAATGAAAAACATATAGGATTGATGATGAAGAATTAAAAAAGTTTCTAGCAATGGAGCCCAAGCAATAACAGCAACTTACCCCCTGATGCAGAGACCAACACCCCATCCAAATCCAGTTGAATCATGCAAAGAAAAGAAACAATCACTACTATTCGTTAGGGACGTCGTCGCAAAATCAATGTCAATAAACCACAACTTGTAGAAGCTGCACAAGATTCCAACAAAGCCATTTCAAGAGATAGTAACAATGACAAATCAACTTGACGGATTCCACATTGACAATTCAAATTAGGCAAGGATGAGAACGGTTCTTCAACAATATAGAACTCCAATCAGCACAACCAGAAGATTCCACCGGTAGCATAACGATTGAATGATAACAATTAACTATTATCAATGTCTCGCAACAAGGCTTCCTAATTAACCTAACGAGCAAAAGAGATGAGGAATTGGAATGCGAAACAATCCTAAATTCAAAGCAGTATCCGCAGGAATGTGAAGAGCGTTATCAATTCAACTACGAAGTAGTAAAAACGGGCGGCTCACCGAGTCATGATACTGACACGAGCCTTCGGGATTGTCCTCTTCGGTGAAGGTGGCGTCGCAGCCAATTCGCTGGCACCGCAGCCTGTCGTCCGCCATTGAAAGTCTCCGCGTAGCTGAAGCCGAGTAGTGGAAGTCGAGGACTACCGGAGAATGAGCTCCCGATCGCTGAAGCTCCGTCGCCCTTCGGACCCGGACTGTTTTCGCAGCTTCTCCGACGATTCCCGATGGCGACGTCAGGTTTACGCTAATACGCTGCAACTGGTCCACGCTGCTTCTAGAATCTAGAGAACCTTTACGAAGTCGGGGAGAAGCGCGCAATTTTTTTGGCTCTGTTATGGCCTATGGGCTTATGTATGCGAATTTGAAGGCCAATACTACGGTGCCGCAATAAAAAGTGCGGCACCGGTGACGCTTCTTGTTATTGGTCCACGTCAAGTGTGACATGGCATGGGTGGATTCATTAAATAGCAACCCAACCCATTTGGCCCATAAGGAGTGGCACAAACCGTCTCTTCCAAAGTAACAGAAAAGTTGCTCCGTTATAACTCATATGCGTTTTTTTATTTTTTGTTTTCTGTATTAATTTAATTAATAAAAGAAAAACGAACGAAGGAGCACTTCCTCTTCTACCTCGATCCTCCTCTCCGGCGGTCTCTCCCGGCGACTTCCCTGTCACTGTCATCCATCCCATTTTCAGCTCCAAGTTAACGTCTCAATTGAAATTTCTCATTGTTTCGTGCTAGATTTATACTGTAGACCAGAGAAGAGGCGAAGGAATCCCTCTCTCTGTCCCCATCGAACAGCCTGCCGTGCCGGCTAAGTATCAAACGACCCCAAAGAGAGTCGCCCTCCCTCTGCGTCGTCCGCCTCGTTTTGCGTGGTTCTTTTGGGTACAACCAGCATGCGTAGCTGTAATGCAGAGGGTTAACACTTCCAAAACTACGTCTCTTGGTTTGAATCTCTACTGATCTCAGGTGGCCTATATATATATGCACAGTGGGGATGCTGACTGTTGCCACTTACAGTTGCAATAAAGACGGGTTGAGCTAGAGCCTAGAGGTCGGCTGGGAAGGCATTTAGCTGCGTGTTGGTTGGTATTGTGTGGAGAGAACGGTGCATCGAGCTATTTGGAGAAAGAAGGGATCCATAGTTGAATTTCGACAGCGTTATTATTGTGCATACTGTTAGCACTTGTTAGTGATATACAGACTGTGAGCCCTGTAGTAGAGAGGAGAGTTGGTTGCTATTCGTATAATTCATGCTTTGGTTTAATTACTGATTCCAACTAGTGAAGGTCATATATATATGTTCTTATGTAATATATCAGCTTAATTAATATATCACATGATTCGTTCTCAAGTGGAAAAGAAAATTATATGCTTAAGTAGAAGCAGAAAAGAGTATCAACCAGGAAAGCATACTCTACATATATAATAGATTGGTACAACATATATATAAAACATTTCCCAAGTTTGTCAACAAGTGTTCAGAACATCCAAGGTTTCCCTTCTCGCTAAAATTTAATTAAGAATTAATGATACTTTGAACGATGCATATCAGTCAGCCTATATTACTCTCTCTGAGGTAGACCAAATGAAAGAAGCGAGCTCCCCTAGCACCTATATACAGCCCTCCACAAACTTGCAGTAAGTACAACATTACATTCTTAAGATTTTCCTTGATGCTTCGAAGCGGCTGGTCTGTTGACATCGATTCCCCCGATGAACTGTCATCTGATCTGTTGCGGTTCCCTCGATCAAAAGCAGTCAGATGAGCACAGTAGGCCCCGTGGTACTGCAAATGTAATGACTAATGAGAGAAGCCCTTAGTCATATATATATAAGGCAGGGTAATGACGAATTCCCCTAGCTACTACGAATGTTTAGTTTTGAGATTCAATCACCAAGCCCAAACAGTTGGAAGATAAGTTACTTACCTACTCAAACATAGCGAGTGCAACTATCATAATCTAGTAAAGTAAAACAGGATCCAATGCCAAGTTCTAAGCTAAATCAAACCCTCCGATCGAGATAGAGTAATTCCAATGAAAGACCACCAAAGCGCGCGTCAGAGGCTTATATTCTACCGGCTGGCTTCTTCTCAGGTAACAAAATCAGAATTACGAACAACAACAAGCGCCCAATTAAGCAAGCTCCCAATCAATCTTTACTTCCAAATTCAATGAATACGAGCTAGCGAGAATAAATTATAGGAAAAGAGCTATGAGGGATATCATAGACATGGATATCAGAAACAGTACCTACCCTACCAAGGCGGCTGCGTGTTCTCTTCCTCCTCCCTTCTTCCACTTGCCGCTAGCTGCTTTATTAACAGGTCTCTATAAGAAACTGCAGAGTTATCAATATGTGTCTGACCTCTTCGCCTTATGTTCACCCAACTCCTATCAGTCGCATCGAGCTGGTATGCTTAAGCAAAAATAAACCTTAATCAAACTAGACAAGAAAGTTCAGTGACCTCGCATTTCCCATCTCATCCTCTTTCATCTGGCATCGAAAGAGACCAAACTGTCTAAAACGTACAACTCATATTCAACGGAGCAGTACATCAATAACACATTCTGATTACTCATAATTAAACACAAAATTTAGAGCATGACTACACAAATAATCTCACACTAAGAGCTTGATCGAGTTTTCAGCACATCGTTCCTGGGATGACATACAGACAGGACCTTTAAAATTTTCTAGTCCATACACAAGACTCAATCGTGAATTAATGAAACATAAATGCATGCATGAAGCGAAAAAAGATGGATCAGAATCAGATGACCTACCATTGGTCCATGTATCATGATCCCCTCAATAAACCATCCCACTCAAGTGCTGCCGACTCACAGCGCGCATTCCTCAAATCCGCTTTCCTTCTCTTCTCTTTCACCCTCGAATTTTCTGCCCACCTCAAAACTTGGCATCTTGTTTCTGGAATCGACTGGTACTTTGGCAGCGGTCGATGGAGACGGAGGGCCGCTGAAGTCGACGCCTTCCTTGGCCAGGGAGACTGACGAAAATAACAAACAGAACTGTTTGGGTAGCGGCAGTTGGGTCTAGGTCTCACGGGCCATAGGGTTTAAATTTGGATCAAACGAACCTAACCACCGCCACATATTAGTCCACGTGGACCAATAACAAGAAGCGTCACCGGGGAGAATCTAGAATCTAGAGAACCTTTACGAAGTCGGGGAGAAGCGCGCAATTTTTTTGGCTCTGTTATGGCCTATGGGCTTATGTATGCGAATTTGAAAGCCAATAGAATGGACTTTGAGCCGGCCCACTAAGGATTCCTCCGAGATTGGTTCAAAGCCCATATAAGCAGAGAAGGCTACCAGGCGAAGGTGTAAATCTTAAAACTCCAATTGGGTCGTTTGGAGAACGAGATTCAGGATGTGGATTTACTGAATTCGTAGATTTTGTAAAAATTTATGTTTTTTTTGTTGCTTTTTGTATTGTGGATTTATCTTTAGTGATTTTAAATCTCTAAAATCTGCAGATATCAAATTTCTCATAATCAAAAAGATTTTATATCTTGATTCGTGAGATTGTTTTTCTCCTAATTTTTCTCTTCCTTTTATTTATTTATCACATGAAATATTTTTATCAACAAAATTTTTAATATTTCTTGAACCACTCTAATTTTTTTATTAGGGATAAACATGTTCTTTAATATAATATTAATTTTTTTTATTTTTATTGAATGTTAACAATCACAGTTTCCAAACACTAAACATTTTAAAATTTGTTTTCAACAATCCGAAGAGTTAAAATTTTTAGATTGTTGACAATCGGTAGATTTAAACTCATATCTTCCAAACGACTCCTAAGTCTTATCACAATACCACTCTTGCCAAGTAATCCTTAACAACTTTTTACCAGTATCTGCGTTGCTGATGTGGCATATCAATGGACTTAAATTAGTGTCCACGTGTACGCCACGTGTAATCCATATTGGTCAGTACACTCTCAAAGTGACTAATCAAAGAATGCGAATTAATGTAGTGCATAAACTTTTGCGGTTAAGAAAAGAATCTGAGAGCTTTTCTCTCTTTTGGTACTGGAGCAGCATGCTCTCAGGAACCGATTACATGCCAATAAGTGAAGTAGTTTTCCTAGAGCTAGTAGTTAGTTATGGTCTAAGTTACAGCATATGCTACGACGGCAAAATTATATATACAAACCCATTCAAAGAATGCGAGCAGCTCGTTGCGTTACGCGTATTTACGTTCGACATATCTGTATCATCAAGCTGGACTGTATGCAATTTTGATTTGTACTATGTCATCTGAAAAACTCACGCCGAGGCAGAACGATTCGTCAATCATGTAGAGAAATGGGATGCCATTCCTGTGGTATTTTGATACGGGAAGGTCACAACAGTCTGTTATGTGCTTCGATCATCGAAACCTTCTCCTGAACCGTACATGTAAAGACATTTTCAGCTCAAGATTTTGCAGTAGTGGCAAAGTGAACAACATGATGAGGCTGACAAGCAACAACGACAGAGGAAGAAAGGTTATCACCTCATTTGGCGCGCTTTCTGATGGAAACCATTGCAAAAGGACTCCGAGATTCATGACATTAGGTATCAATTTGAACAGGAGAGGTGTTGTAACCTGAATGAGAAAGGTTCAGTTGATCACTGTTTTACATAGAATTATGGCACAACTAATAATACCAACAATGGAAGTAGAAGAAACAAACCAGACTTAAAGCGGTTGTTCCAAGAAGGAGAAGGTACATCTTTCCCTGCATCACCGTAAACAGGTCACAATCAGGAATAGCAAGTTCACGGGACATGAGAGAGACAAAGCGATAGGGAGAGCGAGACTCAACCTCAACAAGGTTAAGAGTTGAGGCACGACTAAGCAGAACAAAAGCAAACTCCCCAATTTGAGCAAGCAACACGCCAACCTACGCCAGAAAACATGAAATTCTTTTTTCAGCAAAAACGAATGAATTTGAGAGACTTCAGTACTCGTTAGCATCTATGATATTTTAGAAGCCAACTCACATGAAACGATGTCCTGATGCTATATCCAAAGGTTTTAATCACCACAGCAGTAACGGCTGTCTTCACAACTACAACCATAATCACTGATGCTAGCAGTATATCAACGTGATTCCACAGAAAATGCACGTGTATAAGCATTCCAATACTTGCTAAAAACAGTGCGGCAAACAGATTACGAATGGGCTCCACCTATATAAACAGGAAAGGAGAAGTATCTCCACTGGGTCATTCTCAATGCTACAACGTGAACAATAACTCCCAAGAAAAAGAGAATTTGCAAATGGAATCATCAGTTTCCATTAATGATAAACCTAACTAAGAGCAACATCCCTAGCAATTTCGAACAAGGATTTTCATTCAAGAAATGTGAAAATGACAAGTATAAGTTAGCATAAAAAAGCTAGTACTTACTTGGATAAGCAACTGAAGGCAAAAGATATTGAAACTAACTATAGAAGGTCAAAGTAAAAAAGACTAGTTCAAATCAAGATCATGTAAACAGAAGTACTAGCTATTTGGGAAGATGGAACTGAAAAAATGACAGAACCCTCAGAATTAAAGTTAAGAGGAAAAGCTGGAATTCAATAATGAAAGGAAAGTACCTGGTCTAAAGTATGCTGCGCAAGGTCAGTTGTGGATATCATGACTCCAGCTACAAATGAACCCAACTCGAGACTGAGGCCTAATTTGTCACTGCACTGAAGATGGTAAAAAGGGGCAATTATTACTAATGAGGTCCATATTCGAACAAGAAGATGTTGTGCATTTAATCTTAAGTAGAAACCAGAATTTTTGTCATTCCATATTGACGCACACATTTTCAGTTTTACAGAACAATCAGTAGCAACTATAACAAGTCCATAGGTAAGACAATATGACATGTATTGGTCAAAATAACTCAGCTGTAAAGAATGACTGCTCTGGTTCAGAAGGTCAGTAGATCGAAGATAACTTCATTAAGTTCATATAAAGGTAGTAACACTCATTTCCCAAGCATGTTATTGAAATCTTGAGCAATACTAATGCAACAATTTGTATCATGAGACAGAAAAGGGAACAAGCAACCCAAGACTACTATGAGAAATAAACGACTGCTGCAAGATCAGACAACCATCAAACATCCAAGTAAACTGATGGGACAATTATGCATCATGTGAAGAATGCTATTATGAGGGAAAGCGGAAGACATTTGAACTCACCCAAGCAGATAGCAAGCAGAAGGCTACAGCAGCAAGCTGATAAAGTTCATTTGTCTGCATCGAAGATGAATAAGTGTGCATTAAGAAAACCAGTCAAATAGAAGGCTAGCCTACACGGGAAAGACAGGACACTCACTTGAGATGATATCTGGATCATTAGCTTCAGAAAGCGAGGAACAAAAGACCAAGACAAAAACGATGCAGCAGTGAGGAACATGGACAATACCAACAACCTAAACAACATAGAGTTAGTGTTCGTCGGGGATCAAGCTTGGAAAAGTAGCCAGACACTAATTAGCAAAGAAAGAACGAATAAGCATAGAATGACATACAATTTTCCCATTGAAATCATTCCATGTAGTAACCCACTGCTGCCACCCAACACTGGGAGTAAAGCAAACAACAATCCAATAGCACAATCCTGGGAGATTCATATGTATGAGCTACAAAATCTGTTTTATATTAGATGCTCTAAGCACAACGAATAAGGAAATAGAACCTGAAGAATCAGGGTCCCCACTGTAATTTGACCATGAAGTGAATTAGTGCCGTTACGCTCAGCTAAGAATTTCACCACCTGGTTGGCGTAAATGCAGAAGAGTGGGTCACAAGAAAAATTGGTTAACATAAAAGAAACTAATAGGAATCAGCACTGATTGGAAATCTAGAATAAAGAGTACCACTGCTGTTGATGACATTGACAAGAAGGATCCAACAAAAACACCCACAGACAACTGTGCTCCGCACAGCTACAAAATTGGCAGATGTAATTAGCACTATTTTAACAAGAAGAGTGGCTGCAAGCTAAACTTATGGGGCAAGGAACATACCATGGCAGTTACGCCAGACAAGAACATAAATATCACAATTTGAAGAAAACCTCCAAACACGGCAACAGCACCCACCACCCTTAACTGTATCACCAATTGATTAATATAAACTTAGCAAACAAGAAACAGCATAAAGAAAAGCCAGCTTAAGGTCTTCAAGACCATTTTAACCTACCTTTGTTATAGAAAACTCGAGGCCTAAAGCAAAAAGTAGAAAGATAACACCAAACTGGGCAAACGTTTCGACCTGCAATGGAGGAAAGCATCCAAGTCAAAAGTTAAACTCCTGCAAGTGTTTAATGACATAGAGTAGAAAACTGGACGACCTCTGTAATATAGATGATATATTACCTGCACCATCTCACTGATGAACTTAAGACCTCCAGGTCCAATGATTGACCCAGCAAGAAGATAACCCACAATAATCTACAAGACATAAGACATCAGCGTTCATCAGTAATTGCAAACTATCAACCTAAACTCACAAGCAGTGAACCAAAGAATGGAGCAGCAAATATGTATCCTAACCGGCTGTCCCAAACACGAAAAGATAATTCCACCAATAGCAGCAGAAACTATGACAACCACCAGATCTGAAATTAATCTGTTGGAAAGGGAAAAAATTGCATAACGCATCAAAACTTGGATTTGAATATGTCAATTACAAGTGACAATTACTCAATATGAAGTGATCCCTGAAAGGATATGCACCTCAAATCGACTTGAAGCACTGGGTATTTGGATTTCTTATTTGACATGACAAAGACATTGTCCTGCAAGCAGTCAGACACAATTGCAAAAAGTTTCTGCATTAATAATGCACCTAAGAACTCCATATCTGCCTACAAAGTTTGAACCAGAAAATTTCAGACTATGTTGCAGAAACCTTTTTGTCAATTAGGGTAGTATCCTCTGAATCCTCATTCTCTAGTGAAAATACATCTTGTAACTGAAACGATCTTGGTCCGCTGATAACAGTTGGAATGAGGGACAAAAATGCACCTGAAATTAGTTTTCCCAGAAACAGTGTCTCGCTTTGTTTTTCATAGTAAAAGAACTTTCATGGCAAGTATTTTTTGACATATTTCCGCACCTTCCTGGCTGTGAGTCATTTTTCTTTCCCTTCTCATGAGTAACTTTGGCGACCGTTTCCAACACAGCCTGAAAATTATTAGCAAGATTCGTCGTGAATGCATTGAAAAAACTTAGATCCACCGGTAAAGGAGTTAATGACAAGATTTAAAGTTACTATGTGAAACAGCAAATAGAGTATAAAAGCTGAAAAAAGTAAAGAGTATAATTAAGGTCTATATAAGGTGTGTGACAGATATGGAAGGTGAAGCTTGTCACAATATTCTCCCAAGTTGAAGTCGCAAAATTAGATAATTTTTTTTCCCCAGAAACAGCCCCATTTCCTTCATTAACCAGTGATTATCTGATTATGTCAGAAAATATATCCCAGCTTTGCTTCCCGTAATTAGAAGTACAACCCTACCTGTTGGTCATTTACACTGTTGTTGAAGTTGCTTCCATCAGAACCTATACAAATAGTGAAAAAAGGTTAAACATTTCACTACAGAAACATCAATAGGGAAGAATTTTTATCAAATGACGGACACGAATATGTAACTCTGTCAAAGGACAGGATATAAACTCATGTCACACACAAGATGCAAGAAAGCAGCATGATTCCCTACACTGGCAATCATCACACAATCACACATACTAAATTACAATCTTTCTTTCTTTCTTCGCTGCATCATTCTACCTGGCAGGGTGTACGCAATACAATAACGCCAAGATCTAAACTACTTGACTTCAGAGTTAAATGACAAATAAGACCTCTAGAGCTCAGAACTTCGGCATGTGACTACTGCGCCCTCACAACAGCCTTGCGCCATTTACATTTCTGCCAACAGATCCTGTGCTTCGAAGAGAATACAAAACAGACTTCAGCCCCATCGATACAGTTACTTGTAGTAGACCAAATTCATTTGTCATCAGTTTCATCAGTAACCATAATTGAATTCGTTCATTTCCAAATCTTGAATCTGGCGCTTCTCGCCCTTCCTTTACAGCTATCCTCATCTCCACCAGCTAATCCAGCAAGCAGAAGAAAGCAGGGTACTAATTCTGTCCGCTTCCTCTATCCTTACAATCAAGATCAACGCAAGCGATGCTAGATTCTAAAACCTAATTGGTTCAAGAAGTTCCATACAACTATACTTATTTCTTGAAGTGGAAAGAAAACGAGTGCAGGATGGAAAAGAACGAAAAAGCAAAGATGACGGGCTAACCTTCCGGCTTATCATTCTCGGAGAACTCTTTCTCGAGAACGCGATCGAACATTTGGGCGATACTCCCTTCTCCATTGTCGGGAGTGGTGTTATTGATCAAATTGCCGTAGAACCTCTCCCTCATTTCCTTGTCAGATCTAGCGGACTCGCAAATCCTCGTCGGAGCCGCCACCACAAGGAAGAGCAGCAGCAGGCAGCGCCAGAATCCACACAATGCTGGCTTCGCGAGGAGCATCGCTGCCATGATTTCGTCCCGGCGGCCTCGCTAGCGAAGGCGGAGGACTGGAAGCGATCAAATTCTCCCGTAGAAAGTTCGTTAGATCGAGTTTTTAGAATTTTGGTTGAAAGCAAAAAAGGTTTAAACGCAGCTCCATTTATTATTAATTAATTATTTAAAAAAGAGTTGCGAAAATGTGTCGATCCGCCCCGCCGGCCATCGCGGTTCTTCCAAAAAAAAAAAAAGAAGAGGAAAACAGAAGGTTGCGTAAAACTGTAAAAGTGTTATGTGCAGATTTGCAGGGTCAGCGCGTCAACCTCACGTCTTCTTGATCAGTTCGGTTTACCTAATAACGACTATCTTAACGACCCAGAAATGACGTGGGACCGGCCCACTGGTAAGTGGAAATCATGCAGGCTCGTCCGTGATTCTTCTTTTCACGCAGGGTCGTTCTGGAGTGCGGATCCTGTGACTAAGGGGGGTGCTTAGTCACTTGACTAAGCCCCTCCTAGCCATTAGATCTGGACACTTCAATCCAATGGTTAAAAAGTGGGAAGGGCTATTTAATTAATGGCGTTCTGGAGTGCGGATCCGGTGACTAAGGGGGGGCTTAGTCACTTGACTAAGCCCCTCCTAGCCATTAGATCTGGACACTTCAATCCAATGGTTAAAAAGTGGGAAGGGCTATTTAATTAATGGCAGGGGTAGTTTGGGTATTATGAAAAATTACGAAGTATACAAACCGGACTTACAATCAGTACAAACCATACAAACCATACAAACATATGAACAGTACAAACTAGAGCGACAAAACATACAAACATTACAAACGTATGAACTGTACAAACAATACAAACTAGACTGACAAACAATACAAACTATACAAACATATGAACAGTACAAACTAGAGCGACAAAACATACAAACATTACAAACGTATGAACTGTACAAACAATACAAACTAGACTGACAAACAATACAAACCGTACAAAAAGAAAAAACAATCGGGTTGACTTTGGAGGCTCCATCCCTATATAGAGGGGCTCCTTTCCAAAGTCAACCCGGGTGTTTTTTAGACATACAAACAGTACGAACATGGTGGACAAAAATGACAAACTAGACCGACAATCCATACGAACGGAAAAAAAACACTCGGGTTGACTTTGGAGGCTCCATCCCTATATAGAGGGGCTCCTTCCCAAAGTCAACCCGGGTGTTTTTGGGTGTTTTTTATACATACAAACAGTACGAACATGGTGGAAAAAAATGACAAACTAGACCGACAATCCATACGAACTGGAAAAACACCCGGGTTGACTTTGGAGGCTCCATCCCTATATAGAGGAGGTCCATCCAAAAGTCAACCCGGTTGTTTTTTAGACATAAAAAACATTACAAACATGGTTGACAAAAATAACAAAGTTTACAAACATGGTGCACAAAAATAACAAAGTGTACAAACATTACAAAAAAAACCGACAAACATTACAAAATAACAAAGCATACAAACATTACAAAATATGTCAACAAACATCACAAAATTAACACTGTCGCCGGGAAATTCTTCTCCGGCGACGATGTTCGTCGGAAAAATTTCCCGACCAGAAACTCTCTCTCTCTCTCTCTCCATGTCCAAACAATTCCCCAATTCCCCATCTCTCTCACACACATCCTGGGCCCGCCGCGAAGCTCCATCTGCTCCGGCACCACCGCCCCGACCCTCGTCCGGCAAATATAGTTCGCCATCCACGACAGCGCCGTGATCCTGAACGCGCCGGACGTCAGGAACCCCATCACCGCCATCCCGATCGCCAGCGCCGCCGGCACGATCACCGGGCTGCATATCACGAACACCGGCGTCGCCACCGCGAGCCCGATCAGCGTCGCCGCGAACACGAGGCCCGCTACCAGCAGCAGGAACCCGCCCAGCGGAGGAGTGTGACCACGGCTAGAATCTGCTGTGTGGAAGGTCCGCGCTCCGGCAGCATGCTCTTCATCGTGCCGCCGGCACCGTACTGGTCTTGATCCTCACGGCCGTAGTAATCATGCCGACGGTGGTCTGCCATTGTGAAAATAATCCCACCGCCTCGGAAAATTTCCAGGACCGGCGGCAGGTACAAAATCCCACCAGCGGCCGATCGGAGAAGTCGAATGGACAAAGCTCTTTTTTATTTTTTTATTTTAATTGTTAAATAAATAAATTAAGTAGTTACCATCTTACCGTTCGTTAAATCAGATAAATCTGAACCATTAGATTTTAATGAGCATCAATGGTTGAGATTGGGTTAGTCATATGACTAAGGGACCCCCCTTAGTCACCTGATCTTAGCCCGTCGTTCTGGTCTACTCCCGCGAGAGCCCAGAGATCTTGATCCAGCCCATAAGACCAGTCCAATTTGTGTCGGTCCAATAGTTAAGAGTCGAGACTTTAGAGATTGAGCCCATATTTTTTAACTACCCGGTTGCAGAAGATGACGTGTCAACTACCAAATTCCCTTCTCCCCACAAGATCGGAAGCGGTTTGTTTCTGGCTTCAGCAAGTGGTCGATATGAACGGCCGTAAGCCCCCTCTCCACCGCTGCCGCCGCCATCCAACTCGCCGCCGGCGGATTGTGTCAATGAGAGCGGAGGTCAAGGAGATAACACGGAGATCAGGAAGAGCGAGGAGTCTCGCTGCGCCACCCTCTACATTTTCTTCAACTTCTTCCAAACCCGTTGCCGGTGAAATTCCCGGAATGGCGGCTGTATCTAGGGATTGGGAGCTACTGCAGCAATTAACCCCTCAAATCCCCTCGACTCCAAGAAGCTCCGTCTTCTTTCCTCTCGCCGAGATCCTTCTCAGGTTTTGCTCCTGCTCCTTTCTTTCCTCCTTAATTTTGCGCCTGCCAACTTATTTGCGACCTGAAGCTGATACAGTTTGTGATTGTATAATTGAATGGCTAGCAACTTTTGAAATTCAAACTGGGATTTGTTGGTCCGTCCATTGATCCATACTTTCTCTTGGGTTCTGCTTAACCTCAGAAGATGTTTCAGCTCAGCATGCCCAAGTTCATTGTGCTTAAATCAGCGGTTTTATTGAAGGTTTTTGGCGGTTCAGTTGTGGCTTTTAGCCCAAGCCATTGATGAACCTAATTACTTGTTTCAGCCGTGCTATTGTCTGTCTGTCAGTTCTGTTCACTGGATTCTCCGCCATTTGCTGGCTCTAGTGAACAAATCTGATTCCTTTCTTTCCCTGTCCTGCATTTTCCCCCTTATCTTTAGCAGTGGAAAAGAACGGAAATTTTGTAAGTTTAGGCGACACTATTTTCTTCTAAGAGATCACCCCTCAAGAAACTCTCCCTAAAACTTACCAATCTCACAAGTATTGTTCCAAGTCGGATTCAAACTTCTTGTCTTAAACAGTAAGCTTATTTCCTAACCTAGTTAGGGTGCTTTGTTTGATTCAGGAAGGAATACAAGCTTGGTCATGGCTGTGATATGATGGCAGTGTGGAGTTGACCATGGGCTCTATTTTAATGCTGGAGCTGGCTGACTTGACCAATTAGTTAACCAATGCTGTTGCGGTAATTGTTTGCCTCATTTCAACCAATTGTGTCAGTCTTAATGAGTGAGCATTTTGCATTAGCAGCTAATATGGTTTGGCCTAATTGGGCTGCTGGCCTTTAAGTTTTATGCATTGTCTCCGTTTTTTTCCAGGATAGGGACCAATGCTGCATCATCATCATGTGCATCTAAACCTGGGTGTGCTTCTTCTTAGGAAAGTATGACTGTGAATAATTGCAACCATTTGTAGCTGTTTGGTGGTACAGTTAGTTACCTTTTGGAGAATTGATTTGAGACTGGAAAAGCAAGCTGAAACTGAATTGCTTTGCAGCTTTGGTGCTAGAAAATGAACATGAGGTTGACTAATTTCCGCCACCAGTAATAACTTGTGAGTTGCCTGCCTCAATGTGATGCTGTTTATAACATTGGCTAACGAATGAAAGTATGGTACACTTCAGAGAGAAGGCTTTTGTTCATGCAATCGTCGCTTGATAAATTACCCGTGCCTGAGTGATATATTGTGGTTTATGAGAAGTGTTATAGAAACATATTCTCCAGTACCTGGCCATATGATTTTGCTGGTTTTTCTTTTTGAACATTTTGCAATATGTATTAGAGAAATAGATGACTGACAAATTGTGCAACCTAAAACAAATGCCTGTCAAAACTGATACATGCTGTACCATATTTTGCTTTCACTTGCCCTGTCTATTATAGGATCTGCTTTTACATCCCTTATGACTCTTTAGGTTTACCACTTTCGTCTCACGAAATTCTTTATCTCGCCAGGCATGAACTTCTGCTTTTTGAGCCGCTATGAGAAGGGTCAGGAGAAGAAATGGATAGGGATAATCGGGGTTGTATCATGGGTGAAGATGTGGGTCACTATGGAGGTTCTTACAAGGTAACCGAAGGGTTTGAATCTTACTTCCAGTCCATCCCTGGAATCTAGATGATCGCATGCTGGATTCCTGGCAATGCAAAAGGGCTTGATGCAAGCTGCTATGCGATGTGAGAACCCGGTGATCCTTTTTGAGCACGTGCTGCTTTACCACCTAAAGGAAAGAATCCCAGACGAAGAGTACATCTGTGATCTGGAGGAAGCTGAGATGGTTAGGCCAGGGGAACATATCACCATCTTGACCTACTCTCTAATGAGATATCATCTTATGCAGGTTGCCAAGACTTTGGTGAACAAGGGATACGACCCTGAAGTGATTGATATCGGTCCTTGGAACCTTTCAATCTTCACACGATCGGAAACTCAGTGAAGAAGACGCATCAGGCGCTGCTAGTGTAGGACTGCACGAGGACGAAAGGGATTGCTGCTAGCTTGACCGCGGCCATCAATGAGAAGTTCATTGACTATTTGGGTGCCCCAATTATGTATTTGTCATCACAGGGTGTGCCGACACCTTACGCTGGGTCATTGGAGGAATACACTACTGCGCAGCCTGCCCAGATTGCAACGGCAGTTGAGCAGTTGTGTTGGTAAAATTGGCCCGTAGCCATTAGAGCAGCCTGCAGCCGTTGTTGAGGTAGAGTTCTCATGCCGCCTTTCTACTTTATGTATTTTGTTTTGGTATAGTTTCTTGAACAGCTTGCTCATTGAATATTCAGCAAACAAGTTTGACTTGAAGAGATGTTTGTCAGTTAACTGTTGTGTGTGCATCAGGAAAGCATACATCATTGGTTTCACTAAACAGTAACAATTTTCTGAGTAATGGTTGTTTATATTCCGTAAATGATACATATGGATGAACCAACAACATTCCCCTAACACAAATTAAGTTTCCTCAACAATATCAAATAGTGCATTCCCATTCTGAAAACAAGTGTATCCCACTGTCAAGTCATCCAACAAAGGAACGAACTTAAATCATCAAACATCATAGCATTTTACTATTTTCTGGCCTCTCTACAGAGCTAACCATCAACTAACTTCAAACACACCTCACATGAAGATCCTTCAGAGAAGTAATTGACGACTTTGTCGGGTATTTGATTGGTGTACAAAATCAAGGACTCCAATCTGTTGAAAGGAGATGGATGTTGTTCCACAATCTCAAACGTATTATTCAATATCTGCAAAAAAAAAAAAAAAAAAACAGCACAACTTGAAACCAAAAAAAAAAAAAAGGGACATGATGGTACCTGCAATTAACACTACATACACCAAGCACATACCTCAACGATAGAGCCACGCAGCGTCAAGGTTTTGTTACTCTGCACGCACAGGAACAAGGAGCTCAGGTAGTAACCTACCATTCTCTTGAACAGCTGTTTTGGACTGGAAATTGGATGTGAGATTTCAGTACAATCCTTTTTTTTTTTGGTATTTCGGTCCAATAATGTGTTTAGAAAGATGATAAATTTCAAGATTAGTGATTTTAATAACTCTCAATTGTTGATTTTTGAAAAAGATGTTCACATTAGCTATTCTGCGATCTCCCGTTATTTTTTTCTTTTCTTCAAAGCTTACCCCTCTTCTAGTCGACTTCCTACTGCTTCCTACTTATTTCTAACAACCCGAGCTTTAACAATGTTGGTGCAGACTGCAGAGGATTGAACTTGAATGAATGATGGAATTACACCAATGCTGTTGTGGTAATTTTTCACCTCATTTCAACCAGTTATGCAAGTCTTAATGATTGGCCATTTTGCATTAGCAGCTAATATGGTCTGGCCCAATTGAGCTACTGAACTTTAAGTTTTATGCATTATCTCCGTTTTTTCCAGGCTAGGGGCCAATGCTGCTGCTGCATCATATGCATCTAAACTTGGGTATGCTTCTACTTAGGAAAGTAAGATTGTGAATAATTGCAACCATTTATAGCTGTTTGGTTGTACAGTTAGTTTACCTTTGGATGAATTGATTTGAAACTGGAAAAGCAAGCTGAAACTAGAATAGATTTGATGCTAGAAAAATGAACATTAGTTCGTTTCATTTCTGCCCCCACTAGTAAACATGTGAGTTGCCTGCCTCGGTGTGATGTTGGGGAAAACATTGGCTAACAGATGAAAGTATGTTACACTACAGAAAGAATGCTTCTGTTCATGCAATCTTCGCTTGATAAAAATTACCCGTGCATTAGTGGTATATTGTGATTTATGAGAAGTGTTATAGAAACATATTCACCAGTACCCGACCATATGATTTTGCTGGTTTTTCCTTTTGAACATTTTGCAATGTGTATTAGAGAAATAGATGACTGACATGTGCAACCTAAAACAAATGCATGCCAAAACTGATGCATAATGCACTATATCTTGCTTTCATTTGCCATGCCTATCATAGGATCTGCTTTTACATACCTTATGACGGTTTAAGTTTGCACTTTCGTCTCATGAAATTCTTAATCTCAATATTTATATGCCAGGCATTAACTTCTGCTTTTGGAGGCCCTACGAGAAGGTCAGCAAAAGAAATGGATAGGGATAATCGGGTTTGTATCATGGGTGAAGATGTGGGTCACTATGGTGGTCCTCACAAGGTAGCCAAAGGCCTTGAATCGTACTGATAGAAACCGAGAGTAGAGGGGTGAGGTTGGGTCGGTCGGCCGACTGGACCGGGTGGGGAGTGACCATTTTGTTATTTTCCATTATTTTCCTTTGAACTCATAAAAGGGATTCTGTACACTCATTTTGGGATTATGGAAATAGAATATCAGAAATTCCTAATCCTGTCTTTCTCTTGTTCTTCCCCAATTCTCCCAAATCCCTAATCCCTAATCTTCTTCTCTTCAATCCCTAATTCTCATTCTTAATCTCTTTTACAGCATCACGCTTCTATCATTTGGTATCAGAGCCAACATGAGTCCCTCGAAACTCACTGATCCAACATGGGCTCGTACACGACAACTGATCGAGTTCACGCTCTCTGAACTCAGGCGAGAGGCGCAGGACCCTGGGTGGACGGCAGCGGCGGCGGCCAAGGTGGCCGAGCCAGTCGCGGCGGTCGAAGACCCGACGGGGCCGACGCGGCGCTCGGGCGCGGCGGAGCACGAGCTCGCGGCGTCTGGCGGCGGGCGCGCGATGGAGGCGGGCGGCGCGCGGCGAGTGGAGGCGGCTGGTGGGCGCCGCGGCGAGTCGGTCGCCAGGGGCGGCGCGGGCGCCGAGGCAGCGCCGGGAGGGGGTGCGACGTCGGGCGGGGACGGCGGCAGTGAGCAGGGGCAGAGAATCGGGGACGTCGCTGCTCTCTCTCTCCACTCGGCGACCGGGCTGCCTACGCCGGGCACGCTGCGATTCCAGGCTCGAGTGGGAGGGGTGACCGCGCTGACGTTGGTGGATAGCGGCGCCTCGCTCAACTTCATTAGTGCCGAGCTTGCCAGGACTCTCTCCATGGCGCCGAGTACAGTGGAGAAGATGGTGATTCGGGTTGCGAATGGGGCGCCTATGCAGTGTACCACGGTTTATCGGGGGCTTGCCTTGGAGATTCAAGGCTTGCCGGTAGCAGCCGATTTCTTTGTGCTGCCCATCAGGGGATTTGATATTATCCTGGGCATTCCTTGGCTGCAGAGTTTAGGACCGACTACCACCGATTGGAAAGGCTTGACCATGCGGTTTAAGTGGAGGGATAAGGAGTGGAGCTTACAAGGGCTCACCACTGCTTTGGGGCCCATTTCCATCCATGATAGCACCGAGATGGGAGAGGCGGACTTCGCCGTGCTGTGCTGGCCGATGGAGATTGGGGAGGCCCAGGAATTGACCCCTGATCTGCAGCTAGTCCTTGACAGGTTCGCCGTGATCTTCCAGGAGCCGACTACTCTCCCGCCACATCGCCAGGTGGATCACGGCATTCAGCTGAAGGATGGGGTGGAAGCTGTTAATGTTCGACCCTACAGGTACGGTCACTCGCAGAAGGAGGAGATTGAGCGTCAGGTTGCTGAGATGCTGACTACCGGGTTGATCAGGCCCAGCACTAGCCCTTTTTCTTCACCGGTGCTTCTGGTAAAAAAAAAGGACGGGACCTGGCGGTTCTGCACTGACTACCGGGCCCTCAACGCCGCGACAGTGAAGGATCGTTTCCCGATTCCGACGGTGGATGACATGCTTGATGAGCTGCACGGGTCCTCTTATTTCACTAAGCTCGACCTGAGGGCCGGCTATCACCAGATCCGGATGAGGGAGGAGGATGCACACAAGACAGCCTTCCGGACCCATAACGGCCATTATGAGTACCTGGTAATGCCGTTTGGGTTGTGCAATGCCCCTTCGACCTTCCAGGCAGCTATGAACGACATCTTCCGGCCCCTGCTTCGTCGGTACGTTCTGGTTTTTTTTTATGACATTCTTATTTACAGCCCGACATGGGAGGCCCATTTGCAGCATTTGCAGGCCGTGTTTGAGATTTTGCAGCAGCACCAGTATTACCTCAAGGTTTCAAAATGTGCCTTTGGGGTTCAGAAGGTGGAGTATCTGGGGCACATTGTCACGCCTCAGGGAGTACAGGTGGACCAGAAGAAGATCCAGGCCATGGTGGAGTGGCCGACCCCGACCACTGTCACTGAACTGCGGGGATTCCTGGGCTTGACAGGATATTACCGGAAGTTTGTACAGGGCTACAGCATGATTGCTCGGCCCTTGACTAATCTGTTGAAGAAAGGCGGGTTCGTTTGGAATGCAGAGGCCGATGCAGCATTCTGCCAGCTGAAGAAGGCCATGACCACCACCCCTACTCTGGTTATGCCTGACTTCTCTCGCCCCTTTGTTATTGAGGCAGACGCATCGGGCCGGGGCATTGGAGCAGTGTTATCACAGGATAAGCACCCGGTAGCCTTCATGAGTAAGACTCTGGCGCCGTCCAAGGAGGCTTGGTCCACCTACCAGAAGGAGATGCAGGCTATCATTACGGCAGTTCAGATGTGGAGACCCTACCTTCTGGACAAAAGTTCCACATTTACACAGATCATCAGAGTATGAGGAATCTATTGGAGCAGCGAGTTTCCACTCCCGATCAGCACAAGTGGGTATCCAAGCTCCTGGGGTATGATTATGAGATTCACTACCGCCCCGGACCATCTAATATCGTGGCGGATGGTCTATCGAGGCGCCCCGGGGGTGAGATTTTGGCGGCAGTTACAGGACCAGTACCTCAGTTCTGGGACATTCTGCGAGCTCTTATGGAGACGGACGAGTATATGCAGGGATGCCGTGAGATAGCGGTTAGTGCCGATCCCGGCCATTACTCTTGTCGGCAGGGGTTGGTGTTCTTCCGAGGGCGGGTGGTGCTTCCCCGGGGGTCGTCCCTAGTGACGACAGTGTTGCAAGAGTTCCATGACTCTCCGTTTGGAGGGCATTCAGGGGTGGAGCGGACACTGAGGAGGATCCGGGCCCAGTTCTATTGGCCCCAGATGGGCCGGGATGTTAAGGACTATGTTGCATCTTGTGACACCTGTCAAAGAGTCAAGGCATCCCATTTGCGACCGGCGGGTCTACTGCAGCCGTTACCGGTACCGGAAAGGGTGTGGGAGGATATCAGTATGGATTTTATCGTCGGGTTACCACCATCTGGAGGGAAGACCGTCATGTTCGTCGTCGTGGATCGGCTGACGAAGTACGCCCATTTCATGGCCCTGGCACACCCATATACTGCGCGTTCAGTGGCTGAGCAGTTTGTCTTAGGGGTGGTCCGGCACCACGGATTTCCGAGGTCCATTGTCAGCGACCGGGACTCCGTTTTCTTGAGTCGTTTTGGCAGGAGGTCTTTACGTTGGCTCGGACCCAGTTGCGGATGAGTTCGGCATATCACCCCCAGACGGATGGCCAGACGGAGGTGGTTAACCGCTATTTGGAGCAGTATTTGCGCTGTTTTACCCATCAGCAGCCCCGACGGTGGCTAGCCTATTTACCATGGGCCGAGCTTTGGTATAACTCCACGTACCATAGGGCCATCCAGATGACACCGTTCGAGGCTTTGTATGGGCGTTCCCCACCTTCTCTGGTACGATATCAGGTGGGTTCCAGCCCAGTGGATGCAGTGAATCGGTGGTTAGGGGAGCGAGATGAGGCTTTGGATCAGCTCAAGGCTAATCTGGCGGCTGCCAATAACAAGATGAAGCAACTGGCTGATGCAGGGCGACGAGAGGAGGAGTTCGAGGTGGGTGACTGGGTTCTGCTCCGTCTGCATCCCTACAGGCAGGCTTCTGTATTCCGGCGGGCATATCAGAAGTTGGCGGCACGGTATTTTGGACCGTATGAGGTGTTGCAGAAGGTCAATCCGGTGGCCTATCGTCTTCAGCTACCAGCCGATTCGCGCATTCACCCTACCTTTCATGTGTCCCTCTTGAAGAGGTACCGCGGCGCGGCTGATCGAGTGGAGACAACGGCACCTCCGGTGTCGGCCGACGGTGATCTCGAGCTGGTTCCATTGCAGGTGCTAGACACCAGGTGGGTCAAGAAAGGCGGACGCGTGATCGAGGAAAGCCTGGTCCTGTGGCAGCACATGGAGCGGGAGGACGCCACTTGGGAGGAGACTGCAACCCTTCGGCAGCGGTTTCCGACATTCGACCTTGAGGACAAGGTCGCTTCTGATGGGGAAGGGGATGATAGAAACCGAGAGTAGAGGGGTGAGGTTGGGTCGGTCGGCCGACTGGACCGGGTGGGGAGTGACCATTTTGTTATTTTCCATTATTTTCCTTTGAACTCATAAAAGGGATTCTGTACACTCATTTTGGGATTATGGAAATAGAATATCAGAAATCCCTAATCCTGTCTTTCTCTTGTTCTTCCCCAATTCTCCCAAATCCCTAATCCCTAATATTCTTCTCTTCAATCCCTAATTCCCATTCTTAATCTCTTTTACAGCATCACGCTTCTATCACGTACTTCTAGTCCATCCCTGGAATCCAGATGGTTGCGTACTCGACTCCTTACGATACAAAAGGGCTTGATGAAAGCTGCTATCTGAAGTGAGAACCCGGTGATCTTTTCTGAGAGTGTGCTGCTTTACAACCTCAAGGAAAGAATCCCAGACCTAGAGTACATCTGTAATCTGGAAAACGAAAGGGACTGCTGCTAGCTTAACCAGGGCCATCAACGAGAACTCCATTGACTGTTTGGATGCTCCAATTATGTGTTTGTCATCACAGGATGTGCCGACACCTTACGCTGGGACATTGGAGGAATACACTATTGTGCAGTCTGCCCAGATTATCTGTCGTTGAGCAGTTGTGGCAGTAAAATTGGCCCTTAGCCATTAGAGCAGCCGTTTTGTGCTTGAAGGGTGGGATTTCCCGGCATTCTACTTTTTTTTGTTTTGTTTTGGTATAGTTTCTTGAACAACTTTGCTTATTGAATATTTAGCAACTGTTTTGCACATTAGGAATCATACATCATAGGTTTCACTAAACAGTACAATTTTCTGAGGAATGGTTGTTCATATTCCGTAAATAAAATCTTACACAATGTCAAACAAGTACTATAATAGATCATATCACAGCAATAATGCATATTCCAAGACAAATGGAAGAATATGCAAGTAAGCGTAATATAAATCAGCATCGATCCATCCATTCAAATTAAACCAGAGTACTAAAGATCAGTTGCTCCCTATTATGTGATACATACAAATGAACCAACAGCATTTGCCAAACACAAAGTAAGTTTCCTCAACAACATCAAATAGAGCATTCCCATTCTAAAAAAAGTGTATCCCATTGTCAAGTCATCCAGCAAAGTAACGACCTCAAACTTCATAGTTTTTTTTTTAACAATTTTGCGATCTCTCTCTCTAGAGTTCATCCATTGACCAACTTCACATATTTCTCACACGAAGATTCTCCAAAGAAGTAATCGACCACTTTGTCGAGTAATTTATTTGTCGACAAAATCAGGCACTCCAATCTTTGGAATGGAGATGGATGTTCCAGAAGCTCGACCACACTATTCAATGTCTGCAGCAGCAACAACAACAACAAAACACAACTTAAAGAGCGCGAGAGAGAGAGAAAAAAAGATAGGATAGTACTGTAATCTTCTCGAAGAAACCCCGCACCTGTAACAACAACACTATATACAACATTCCCATAAAGTCCAGAGAGCACAATACCTCAATGGTAGAGCTACGCAGCGTCAAAGTTTTTGCGCTCTGCACACACCGGAACAAGGAGCTCAAGTAGTGACCGCGACCGGCCATTTCTTTGTCCGAAGGGCTCACGTCCAAAAGGTTTAACTCGATATCCGCACATTCCAGAGCAGGGAGGGGCGGACTATAGAACCTTGTGCTTATCATGGATTGATTACAAAGAGTGAAAACTTTGAGTTCCGGTGCATATATCTCAATCCGGCAGATCGAGCTCCTCAATTCCAAGCTGCGCAATCGGGGCCCATGTACTTTGATGATCCTATTTCCGAGAGCCACGTTCGGAGAGCAGAGATCCATGTGCAAATTTTGCAAGCAGGGAAAGTTGTTGTCGGAAAGAACGAGATCCATAGAATCCAAATCGCATCTTCGCAGGCTCAAGGTGGTCAGCATTGGGAGGGAAGCCAGAGCAGGCCGCAAACCCACGCTCGAGTTTGAAGCAGGAAAGGTTTAGAGTTTTCAGATCATCATTCCTCTTCCTCGTCTTCTCATTATCGTCGCAGTAGTCCGAGAATATTACGCTGAAATCGCGACACTGATTGTTGATGCTGTCCAGGGTCAACTCTTGTACGTGATGAGACAACGCATAACCGACGACTTGCAGGGCCCTGCTGGCCTTGCCTCTTCCATGGTTGCTCAAGTAGACAACCTTGCGGAGTTTAAGGTCGTAGCGGAGGGACAAAACCTTGGACACCAACTTGTCGAATTTCGCGGCTGGATGGAAGGAAGTCCTGTCGAAATTGAGGACGGGGACGTGTTTCCAAGCGCGGTTCCAATCCAGCGACAGTACACAGGTCTGAACGGACGATTTAGTGTCAATGAACGAAAGGATGTGATAAAGAATGTGTTTTGGCAGATGGGTTAACCTATCGGTAGTACTACTACCAGCACTCCTGTTTTCTACTTCCTCTTCTTGTTCGTCACGATGCCTTTTTCCCGACCTGCCGTCCTTGTTCATAGCTTACCAGTGTTGTATATTAATTCTCTCAATAACAGCACTCGGCTCGGTTCACCTAATCATCTTCCACCAGCGATTTACAGTTATATATACATAGCCAGCTAAAAACAAATTCCTGTAAAAAAAAACTAACTTGCTCACCAAGACACGCGAGCTAGACAGACGTATTCCGAACCGATTTGAGACTTGCGATCCATCCCGTTTTGGGCTGTTGGGAGACCAGAACATTGATGCGGGCCCATGAGCGCGGTCACAATTGTTTCGGCCCAAACTTTACGCACCCACGGATATAGAGATTGAGCCCATCTTAGTAAAAATATCCGCCTAATCCAATCCATTTGATCCAAATACCAATTGGATTGGTGGATTCATGGATCAATCCATGGATCCAAATGGCAAATTACGGTTTGGTATCTATACTTTTTATATTTTATATTTTGGTACATAAGATTTAATTTTTATACGAAAAATATCATTGAAAAATTACGTTTTGGTACCAAAAAATTTTCATTATGACATTTTAGTACCTAAACTTTTCACATTTTACATATTGGTCCAAGATTGAGGATGTCAAGTTAAAGGTTTTGGACGAAGACAGTTTGGAGGAGATGGACACAGCATCACCAAAAATTGGAGAGCAGAGGGCAGCTGCATGTCAATATTAAACATAACAGACGGTATGTTCTCAGTATTCTTGTTACATCAAAAGTTAATTACTATCATTTCAAGGTAACGCACAAAGGGACAGAACAGTTTTATAGACCAGAACCTGACATTATGTATAGTATTTAGTGTTTCTAAACATGAAGGATAGTATTCTCAAGTAGTTTAGTTAGATCATTAAAAAGTTCCTCCCTTAGACTCCGATTTAGGACTTTCGGTACTGTCATGATTGAACTTGAGACGGAGCATGGGGGCAACACACAAATGGACGCAACGATAGTCCAGAACTTGACATAATGGACAAAACATTTTTTTAGTATTTTGTTAAACCTTTCAAAAATTGCACTCTAGGACTCCAATTAGGACTTCCAACTAACAAACTGTCATTGAACTTGAGTTGAGTTGGTGCAGAAGGGGGCAACAGTTAATGTCATATCATGACAACACACAAAGGGTCCAGAGCAGCAACTTCCTCTCTCAAACATAAACACAAGACTCAAAGGGAGATGAACAAACTCTACAGATAGAGAGAAAAAAGATCTTAGAATACTCATCTATCGTTGCAGAATATGATAAAATATCCTAACTTTCTAAAAAATATGCTTGTATACGACACAAATACTTTTTAGATACAAAGCAAATCTGCTTCAGCTATGAACACCAAGAACATGTATCTATGAGTTGCATCACCCAAAAGAAGCAGCATAATCAGCACTGTTTTCTTTTTGTTTCTTATTATTATTATATCAAACGAATCATCGTCAATACTACTTGAGGAGCTAGATATTCTGACACCCGACCGCATTTTGCAGGGGAGAACCTATGGTGGAAGAAAGAGGGTTCTTGACGACTGAAGCTCAAAAGTAAAAACAGTAGTAGTTCAGAAACATGGAACACTGCAGGACTAGCAAATAATATAAGAATTGCTAAAGTCCAACACTTGGAAAGAACGAGAGCTGGAACGAAAATAATTGGAATAGCTAAAGCACAAATCCAATATAACACACCGTTTTGGTACCTAAGATGCTTCAAAAAAGTTACTCACACGAAGATGCTTCAAAAAAGTAATTGACGACGTGGTCACGTAATTTATTTGTCGACAATGCCAGGCACTCCAATCTCTTGAAAGGAGATGGATGTTGTTCCAGAATCTCAAACATGTAATTCAATATCTGCAGCAGCAACAACAACAAACAAAACACAACTTAAACAGCGAGAAAAGAAACATGGCAATACTATCTTCTCGAGGAAACCTGCACCTGCAATCATTACTATATATATATATATATTCTTGAGTATGAAAACGCTATCTAGACCTTGAATTAGCAAGATTTTTGGACATGATACTATACCCTAACCCTTATTGAGTGAACCCTAGGTCCTAATTATGTAAATCAAAACTATAAACCCTAAGACGGTGCATTGATTTTTTGGCCTATATTTGGACGAATCATAACCGTCGATTATTGTTTCTAATTAAATTGATCTTGGGGTATAAGATTTAGAGAATTAAGACCTAGATTTTGATCTTTAAGGGTTAGAGTATAGTTTCATGTCCGAAAGATTAGTCAATTCAAGTTCTGAATAGCGTTTTCTTACTCAAGGTATGCGATACCCCGGATTTCACCCTGGGTATCGTAGAACTCCCCACATATATATACAACATTCTCATAAAGTCGTCCAAAGCATACCTTAATAGTAGAGTCGCGCACAGTGGCGGAGCCAGAAAATTAGCCAAGGGAGTGTCTTTTCTTCATAAACAAATTAGCATACATAAATAGAAAAGTCAACCCTAAACAAAATAAAAAGTCAACGACATGATACTCAAGATGTACAATATTATTGCAAGATAATAGTTTGACCCACAATGCTTACACCGAACCACGAGGAGATTTTATATTCTGAAATTAAAATATTGTGGAACACATTTATTGTCCAAACTAGTAACACACATCTTATTCAATATATGTCACCAATGTAACATTCTACCCATTATCGTTTATCCGATTTCTAAGATCATTTTTTGAATAACCAAATTGTTTTAGCTGTAAGTTTTAGGATAAATTAAATTGCTATTTTAAATAAATGAGAATACGTAATTTCATATTAAACCTACTTGATTGGGATTTATGGAAGGCTATACATGGTTCAAACCTTCCATGTTGGAATTTTTTTCCTACTCCTCCAAGGGGGCTGCAAAGCACCCCCAGGTTTGTGAGTGGCTCCGCCACTGGTCGCGCTACGTCAAAGTTTTTGCACTCTGCACACACCGAAACAAGGAGTTCAGGTAGTGACATATCATTGTCTTGTCCATCTCCTCCAAACTGTCTCCGTCCAAAACCTTTAACTTGATATCCGCACAATCGAGAGCAGGGAGGGCCGGACTGAAGAAAGTTTTGCCCATCATATTCACGGATTCACAAAGTGTGAAAACTTTTGAGTTCTGGTGCATATATCTCAAGCTTCAACATAATAGTTCTACGCACATCACTTACAAGGAACCACGGCGAAATTTTCATATTGTGGAAGCATTGTAGAACATATTTCTTGTCCAAACTAGCACACAAATCCTGTTCAATGTCATCAGTACATCGTTCAACCGTTCATCGTCCATCCAATTTTGAAAAATCTGTCTTGATATATTTAATAACTGAAAATTTATCTCTTCATCTAATCAACACAAATGAAAAGGTTTAATACATACAAATCAACACTTTGATTCATCAAATAATTCAAAACAGAACTTAGAAGTACATTGTAATTGATTATGTGAAACAAACCAAGAAAGAATCTAAGAAAGTGTTAGGGATTGGGGGATGAAAACTGTTTTAGTTGGAAGTTTCAGGATAACTGGATAATTAAATAATTACAAAATGGAGATGTCTAGGGAGTCTGCTCGATATTAGATGGTCGCTATTCGAGTTCATACTAACCATTACTATGGGGGTGGGGGGACATTTTTCCAAGTCAAGGGGGCTGCAAGCACCCCCAGCTTCCCACATAGCTCCGCCACTGAAGATAATGAAGTATTGGTCGAGGGAACTAAAGTGGCTAACGGTGTTGTAGCAATTCTCAGGGATGAACGCATACAACTTTGTAAACTGATGTCATATTTGTTTCTGCAGGTTTGGAGTTAATAAAAATATGAATATGGATGGATTATTTCTTCATTAGCATGATCCATGCAAAAGTTTGTTACTTTGAGGATGATGATTGTGTTGATTTACTGAATTTATTCTCTCATGGCATGAATCCATACTGTTGGCCTTTTGACAGACACATGTTTCCATGTTCTTCAATGGAAATCAAAGATTTCATCCCTGTTTTTATGATGTGCAAAATTGTTAGAAACCGATTTCTTTAGGGTTTCTATATTTATTATTATAATTATTATTAGGACAATTATCAATAAGGTTAGTAGTCTTTTAGTCGAATTAGGTTTATCATTAGGGTTTTCTAGTATTTCCCTATATATATGTACTTTGGGTCATTCGTCATATTAAGCAGAAATTAATAAGAAAAGTCATCTCCCCAAATCCCTAATCTTCTCTCAATCTCTTCTATCTTTCTCTCTAAAGGCTTCGGCCATTCTATCTCTGTTCTTCCCCAAATTCTCTTCTCAAATCCCTAAATCCCCAATTCTGTTCTATAAACCCTAAATTCTCAATCTCTAGATCTGATCTGGAGACCCGTTAGAAACTTTGTTTCTAACATCTGGTATCAGAGCCCGGTTCGAGAATTGAGTTTGCCAAAACTCTCAACCGGGGACGAGTTCTACAACCGGTTCGACGATGAGCTCTTCAAAGCTCTCGAACCAGCTGTCGTGGGCAGAGCTGCGTGACCGGGCTCGCCGCATCGGACGCCGTTGGAGCTCCGAAGAGTCGCCGACTGTGCAAGCAGAGACGGTGACCCGAATCGCCGACAGCGAGCAACCACCAATGTCCTTTGAGACCGACGAAGCGGTGGAAGTCACCGTCGGAGGGAGCGACACGGAACCGGTGATGGAGGAGGAGGCTACGGACGGAGATATGACAGAGGAGCAGCAGCTACCGGTCCGACCTGTGACGGCGGACGACGAGCAAGAGCACGACGAACATAAGAAGGAAGAGGTAGAGTTGAGTTGCTGGGGCGATGTATCGCCAACAGAGAGGAGGAAGGAGAGACCAGAGGCGAGCGGGCAGCCTCGTTGTCTGGGGCTTTGCTTGACGACGAAGGACAAAGTGCTGAAGGAAGTGCAGGCGATGGAGAAGAAGAGGGAGGGCAGCGCTATCTCTCTGCCTGCAAGCCACGTGATGGAGTCGGAACGGGAGCTGCCGGCGATGGAGAAGAAGAAGAAGGGCAGCGCTATCTCTCTGCCTGCAAGCCACGGGTCGCGAACCCTAGGCCTTCCAGCGCAGCAGCCCTTGCGGTTGGGCCGAGCTGAGCGGGCCGCCAATTCGGGTGGAATAGTGGGTGCGGGCTGGCTGCATCGGCAAGGGGAAGTTGTGCTTGATGGGCCTAATCTCGTTTCAGAGAATGAAGGGGAGATGTGGGACAAATCAGGGTCTGTGAAGGGGCAGAGGTGTGGAAGGGACGGGGCCGAGCTGGGCTACGGGTCAGATGAACTGACGGGCCTAGAAGAGAACCCAACAGCCTTTGCCATCAAGGACAGGCCGAGTCCGTGGAGGCAGATTGGGCTCCGCATGGGCTGGCCCTTGAAAGAGATGGACTTGAACAAAGTTGAAGGGCTTGATGAATTGGTGCTCAAGGATGTATTCTTAAATCAAGCAACATGTTTGGACTCCTTAAGTGTCTGGAGTGTGATGCCAACAAAAGAGGAGTTGTTGAAGTTTGACTTTGTCAAAGAAGTGATTAGTGGGCTCATAGAGGAGAAGATCGAAGAGTTAAATCAGCATCAGAAGATCGGTGTGCGAAGCCCAATTCAAAAGATGGAGCATGATTGGAAGAAAAGGAAGCGGAGAAGCGACAATTGGATTAGGCGGGAAGGTTGGAAGACATTGGTCAAGTTGGTCAACCTTGAGGGCAAGGTTGGACTGAAGGGGGAGGAGATGTTAGAAACCGATTTCTTTAGGGTTTCTATATTTATTATTATAATTATTATTAGGACAATTATCAATAAGGTTAGTAGTCTTTTAGTCGAATTAGGTTTATCATTAGGGTTTTCTAGTATTTCCCTATATATATGTACTTTGGGTCATTCGTCATATTAAGAAGAAATTAATAAGAAAAGTCATCTCCCCAAATCCCTAATCTTCTCTCAATCTCTTCTATCTTTCTCTCTAAAGGCTTCGGCCATTCTATCTCTGTTCTTCCCCAAATTCTCTTCTCAAATCCCTAAATCCCCAATTCTGTTCTATAAACCCTAAATTCTCAATCTCTAGATCTGATCTGGAGACCCGTTAGAAACTTTGTTTCTAACAAAAATGGATTTAATTGTTTTCGTTTTTATACAGCTTGTGGTAACAATTTTGACTTCTTGTTTGGTGGGTTGTAAAAATATTTTTGGTTCCGTGGTTGGTTTTATCAAAATAGAAAACAAGATAATGAAGTATTAAATGGAAGGAATGACTAGTCTAAAAATTGTTAAACAAACAATACATTTGGCAGTGATCATTTTTGAGCACGTGCTGCTTTATAACCTTAGGGAAAGAATATCAGACGAAGAGTACATCTGTAATCTGGTGTTGAGCAGTTATGACAGTAAAATTAGCCCTTACAGCAGCCTGCGGGCCTTGTTGTGGTAGAGTTCTTATGCAAGAAGGGCCGGAAAGCCGCCTTTCTACTCTATTTATTTAGTTTTCTTCATATTCCGTAAATAAAATCTTAGACAATCTAAAAAAACTGAAAAAGTAATATGACAGATCATATCACAACAATAATGCTTATTCCTGGACAAATGAAAGAATAAGTAATCGTTCAACTCGTCTAGACTTTGAATATAAATCACCATCGATCCAATCAAATCAAACTAGCATAAAGGTTAGTTGCACCCTATTATACATGAACCAACAACATTCGCCAAACAGAAAATAAGTTTCCTCAATTATATCAAAATTATCAAGTTATTCTCCAAACACAAAGTAAGTTTCCTCAACTATATCAAAATTGTCAAGTGAGCCAGCAAATGTGCGACTTCAAATCATCAAACATCATAGCTTTTTTACTATTTTCTGATCTCTCTCTATAGTAGTCGAGTTATCAATCGATCAACTTCAAACATATCCTACGCGAAGATGCTTCTTTGAAGTAATTGACGACTTTTTCAAGTAATATTGACAACGTCAAGCACTCCAATCTCTTGAAAGGAGATGGATGTTGTTCCAGAATCCCAAACATATAACTCAATATCTGCAGCAAAAAAAGAAAAACACTAACTTGAGAAAAAGAAAAAAAAAACTTGATGGTATTAAAACCCGCACCTGCAAAAACACTATATACAACATTCTCATAAAGTCCAAGCACATACCCCAACGGTAGAGCCACGCAGCGTCATATTTTTTGCACTCCGCACACACCAGAACAAGGAGCTCAGGTAGTGACCGGCCATTGTCTTGTCCATCTCATTCAAACGTTTCGCGTCCGACGCCTTTAGCTCGACATCCGCACAATCCAAAGCGGGAAAGGCTAGATTGGAGAACCCTTTCCCAGCTGTCACGAATTGATCACAAAGCTTGAAAACTTTGAGTTGGGGTGCATTCATCTCAATCTCGTAGCCGGACATGCCCTTCAATTCCAAGCTGCGCAATCGGGGTCCGTGGATCGTGATCCTATGTCCGTCAACCAGTTTCAGAGCGCAGAAATTAATGTGCAAATTTCGCAAGCAGGGAAAGTTGCCGTCGGAAATAACGAGATCCCGAGAATCGAAACGGCAATGTCGCAGGCTCAAGGTGGTCAACATTGGGAAACCAGAGCAGGCCGCAAACTCACGGTCCAGTTTGAAGCAAGAAAGGTGTAGAGTTTTCAGATGATCATTCGTCTTCTTCTTCTTCTCCTCTACGATGAAATTGCGGTACGGGCCGTCGGTGGTGCTCCAGTCGTCTTCGCAGTAGTCCGAGAATATTGAACCGAAATCACGGTACGCCTTGTATCGACTTTTGTGCAGGGCCAACTCTTCTACGTTATGGGACAACGCATAGCCGGCGACCTGCAATGCATTGCCTTTTACATCGCCGCTGGAGTAGTCAACCTTGCGGAGTTTAAGGTCGTAGCGGAGGGACAAGACTTTAGACACGAAGTTGTCGAACTTGGCGGCCAGGCGGAAGGAAGTCTTGTCGAAATTGAGGACCGGGACGTGTTTCCAGGCGCGGTTCCAATCCCGCGACAGCACCGAGGTCTGAACAGCCCATTTGGTGTCGAGGAACGAAAGGATGTGATAAAGAACGGGTTCCGGAAGATGGGTTAACCTATCGGCAGTAGTAGTAGTAGTTTCGCGATGTCTTTTCCCAGCTTTCACCAACTCCCCGTCGTTGTTCATGGCTCACAACTGTTTCTCTGAATAAACAGGACTCGGTCCACCTTGTAATCTTCCATCAGCGATTTACAAGTCTATATATAGGTGAAAACTAAAAAACAAACCACTATGAAACCTAACTTGCTAACCAAGACAGACGAGCTAGCGAGACGGACGTACTCCGAACCTGTTTGAGAGTTGGGATAGTTGCTCTCGGTCAGTACCGTTTTGGGTTGGGCTGTTGGGAGCCCACAATGTTGATTCGGCCCATGAGCGCTGTCACAATTGCTTCGGCCCAAATGTTTTGACTCACGGGGCTTTAGAGGTTTAGCCCATCTTTATAGCAAACGGGCGCAGGAGGCGACGTGTCACCTACCGCATCCACCGAATTTCCCTTCACACCTTTTCACTAGTAGGAGCGTGCTCTCCACAAGTTCAGCAGCAGCAGCCTCTCATTTTCTCCTCCCACTACTTCCATCGATTCCTTCCTTCGTCTTCCATGGCTGCGATTGCGACCTCGGTAAGCGCTAGCTTCTGCTACAGCAAGTCGTCGAGAATCGATGGCAGTAGGATCCTCTTCACCGCCGCCGCGGTTCCGATGCGCGGGCGGCGGGTCGTGTCGGTGAGAGCGGAGGCTCAGGCGATTAACCCGGAGATCAGGAAGAGCGAGGAGAAGGTCGTGGATTCGGTCGAGGTCGCGGAGCTGGCCAAGCCCCTGACGGCTTACTGCAGGTTTCGATTATTTTTTTCGCCCACACTCCCATCCCTCTTGTAGTTCTAATTGTTTTTTTGTCGATTCCTGTAGAATTGGTTTGATATGGTGGAATTTCCGATTGGTTGGTTGGGTTATGAACAATACGCAGGTGTTGGAGGTCGGGGACTTTCCCGCTGTGTGATGGGAGCCATGTGAAGCACAACAAAGCGACCGGCGACAATGTTGGGCCTCTGCTCTTGAAGAAGCCGAAACAGTAGTAGGCTGGTTTCGATTCTGCTGACGGATTCGGGAGCTCAATGATGCTTTCCTGTGAGTGTGGACTGAGAAATTACTTACAACATATGACTATGAATATCGATTTCTTGCTGGTAATGTTATAGCTTGTTAATGAAATGTTGCCTTGGGTTCCAACTAGTTGAGCATATTTATCCTCTTTTGAGTTCTGTCAAATGGGGTGTAGGGATGAGTTCTGTGAACTTTTTTAGTGAATGCTTTGGCTTGTTGCAGAGTGCTCTGCTATTTTCTTGGCTCGTCTCCTACACCACACAGTCTATGTATTGTATTGCTTGTTAAATGCGTCAATTAGGTGATTGATGCAAGTGTCGAATTATGAACATGGGTACTCAAAACTCAAAAGGAAAAAAACTTGTTTGTTGGCCTTTCTTGAATTTGAAGGGACAGGGAGAGAGAAACGAGATACCAACAAGTTTCATCTTGTTCATGTGTGGGCTTCGGTTTCAAGAGCTTTTCATGGTTTGGCCCATGGACCTTAGCCCCATTTCCCACAGAGTGGTCCTTACTAGATAGGGGATCGGATTTGACTTGGAAGTTAAAATTGGATCAAGTATTTCGGCACAATTATGTATTTGGAAAGATAAAAAAATTCGAGATCGGAGATTTTAAAAATTATGAATTGTAAATTTGTGAAAGAGATGATCCACATAAGCTTCTTTGAAAATTGTCATCTTTTAAAAAAAAAACAAAACTTATCCCTCCTTTGGTCGACTATGTATTTGTCATTTCCAACCGCCCGAGGCTTCAAGAAGCTGCCCAACTTTTCACTGGGGATTGCCTCGGCCAGTGGTGTAGCCAGGATTTTATGTAAGGTGGGTCCGAATTTTTTTAATATCCACGTGGTTCATTGAAAAATTTCTTTCAACACTTGCAGTGTAGCCTTAGTTTGAGTCTAAAACCTGATTTATTGAATTCATTATTAGGATAAAAAGGATCTAGTGAGTTTCAACAAAATGAAGCTTTGGCGATAGATAATGGATACATTAAGGATTTGAAGCTTGGAGGATGAAGTTATATTTTATGCTAATATTATTTATGTAGAAACTAAAATGTATTATATATAATGATGATAGCTAAATTCATGATATAATTATTGTTTGATGGTAGAAATATTGATGAATTTTAGGTGAAAAATCTCGTTGTCACTTAATTATTGTATAAAGGAGTGAGAAACCGTAGCGTATTAGTGGTTCGATAAGAAAAATCTCATGTTGGAAGCGAAATTGATAGAAGATATTAGTGATATGAAATGGTTGAACCATGATTAAACCACATTTTCAGCATAAAATATCCTACCGTTGACTTGTCCGATACAACCTTCTACCACTATTAACCTAGACGTGCATATTTTCTCCCGAGCCAAGGTAGGTCCCGGCCTCCCGGGACCTACCTTGGTATGCACTGCCTCCGCCACTGGCCTCGGCCAAGATCATCATCGCTTGGTGTTAGTCGATATACAATGCCACCACCTTGTTGTTGTCGTCGGTGACTTCGAATCATATCTATAACACATTTCGGTCTTCGTCTTCTCCGGTCACCTCTTCAATTCAATATGATTTGTCTTCTACAACCAGAATCTCAACTCCAATCCGGTTCAGATTCCTCGTCGTATGGTTCAAATTGTGTTTTTGGTTCTCTCTTCCTATCCAAGCTAAACACATCATAGAAGAAAGAGGATATTTTGCTTAAATCTCTCAATAATCAAGTTACACATTCAAACGACTCCTTCATCGCTTCTTTGGTGACATTCACTAGGGCTTGACATTATTTTAGGCAACATAAGCGGAAAGCAAATTGAGGTTGAAGTAATTAGTAGATTGGTCACTTTTTATAATTCATAGTAGACAAAAAGGGTGAATTCAAATTGGAATAATAAAATTTTTAATAATGTCGCGTGTTGTCTTGTTTTGTTAAAGTGCTGGTCATTGATTAATTAAGCATGTGGCCCATAAGAATTAACAACGGGATAATTGCAAAGAAAGAGACAAAAGAAAGCCCGCGCAATGATGAACGGACCAATTGGCTTTGGAATAATCCGAAAGGAAAAGGGACACTGGGCCCGATCTTAATTTGATTCCACAGCTTGGAAGATCAATTAAAGTTTGTAATTGGATCTTTAATTACGTGTCTATCGTTAAGATATCGTACTATATGAATGGCACGACAACTAAGAATGGTTACGTGGTATTTTAATGCCAAATTTTGGTGGCGGGTAAATTACTAGAGTTGGGGGGTGATATGTAATCTTTGAGACTTTGAAATAAGGATGGTGAAATCGTACCAAAAATTGTATCAGAAAAGTTATTAAAAAAAAATGATACCTTGTATTGAAATTATGGTTTAATCAGTTAAAGACCGCTAAAAACTACTTACCGATTTAACTTGCAGTACGAGGCTTTTCCTATCTAACTCTGCCAATAAGGTACCACTTCACAAATATTGCTTTGGAGCTTATTTGGAGCTTGAGACCTTGAAGGTTATTCCGTGAATGGTTTCTCCCGGCATAATAAACTCCGTCGATGAGGGCAAACATATATTGCTTTCAGGAACGAAGGCAGATGGAGCAAAGAATGTTTAAGCAGTGGTTTGTTTTCCCATGAATTCAGGTACAACATACAAGAACATTCAATGAAAAATACATGTATTGTAAGTTGTAGCTATCTCAATCAAATTATCACCAAAACCGAACGTGTGATAAGTTGGTAGGTCTCTTGAAGGAAAGCCTCGTGAGCAAGTGGGTAGGGCTGTGTTTTGTTTCATGGCAGTGCAAGTTGAAAAGGGTATGGATTGGTGATTATGGAATTTGCCCTGTCAAGCGGTGATACAATTTGTTGTTTCTAGTTTTTTAGTGTTTGTCAATGCTTGTTTCTTCTTTGTTACTTTTTCTGTTTGTACAGCTCTTGTTGTTTCTAGTTAAACTTTTCTAAATTATTAATACTAAATTCGAATGACAAGATCATAAACAATTTATGCATAAATTGTTTTGTGTCAACACATGCCATCAATAGTACTTGTTTACGTGAGAGACCTCACCTCACTATCATTGTAATGGATATAAAATTATTTATAATTTTATGTTATGAAAACTCGCCTAATTTTGGGATGTTTTTGCAAGTATGTAATTACTAATTAGCACAATTCTCTACAGAGTCCAAGTTATTTTAATAATATGATGATTTTTTCTGTTTAATTCTGGTAAGAATATAATATAAGTAAATTGAATTTGTGAATGTTGTGAGCTTACTCAAGGCATGTAACAATTCATGGTAATTACAAAAAAAAAAGGTTAATCTAATTACACTAGATCCAATATCCAATATCTTATAAAAAAATATTTCACCAAATACAATCCTTGTTATAAGAACTAGATCATACCAGTCGAATTGTCATTCACTTAGAATAGATGGCTGATCCGTTTACTTGGTGAGGTCAGTAATAGAGCGAACAAGTTTTTCTAATGGTTGGATGGGGAATATGAATGAACGGCATGAATTTCAATGGTTAGTTATTTTGACCACAGAAACAAGTTTGCGAAGAATATACTATAATGTGAACTGAGGTCAACCAATCCTAATTTGTAATTACATCTTTTACAATACATACAAAAATACATTTCTACATCTTTGTTTTCAAATTTATTTATCGTTCTTACGTGATCTTCTACCAACTTTCACCTTAGTTACTAATTAATATTTCCGGTTCAACATACGTTCGAGTTCTGAAAACAAACGATACAAATAATAGATTCGGACCCATCCAAACTCAATATCATAATAATTCTTGCAAATACAAATACACAAACTCTTACTATTCCAGTTCGAAATCACTATATTCTACTTCCTGATATTTAGGCCAAATACATGAACACAAAACTTTTCCTATTTACAGCAAAAAAGTAGTCAACCATCCACTTTCAATATAAATCCTCTTCCAGGGAGACTAATGCGACTCCAAAACTGTGTGCTTTCTTCGTGCCTCCATTACCCTGAATACGAATATCCAGAGTCAACCATTATTTATTACGCTCCAGTTTTGGGCTAATTAGTTTATTCATAGACCGTAACACCTGTTAGATCCCCGCTAACTAGGGTTTATAGTTTATACTACAGTACTGCGCCTACATGTGAAAAATCACAATTAATTAAGGATCCCCTGTGGAAAAAAAACAATACTAATATAAGAATCTGTGCTAATCCAGCCGGACTCCGAGGTAGGTGTCCCCGGAGAACGTTGCGGATCATGTTGTTGTGTTTCACTGTTTTGATACGTGTAGAGCGACTGATGGCGCCATTTATAAGTATGCAGAATTGATCCCTTCATTCAATCAGATTGTAAAATGCAAAAAAAGCCTACAAGAAAATCCATCAGCCGGCGAATTGGCTAGGCTCCACGAACTTGGCTAGTTGTGTTCCTCTTATGTACATGGGAGATCACCTTGTTTGTTTGATGACTTATTTTTGGCTGAAGAAGGGTCCGTGTAAACGGCACGCTGATTCGTATTATTAATCCAGCGAGGTTCGGAGATCGTAATTAGATCTTGAAAAAGTAGTATCGGAGTTTGGCGTCCACTCAATCGAAAATATGAGTACTTGGTGTTGAGGTCTCACTCATCCCGGATTCACTAGAAAAGCATTCACACGAAATATTTGACAATTTAAAATGGCGCTGACCAGGCGATTTCGTTAGCCATGTCGGTACATAACAGACTCCAGTAACGGAGTTGGACTGAGACTAATAGAGTGTGACTAAATGTGGATTGTTTCAGTAATTCGAGTGACCAAAATTGATATCAATTTTTTTTTCCGAGTGACACGTTTTAGTAATCCAAGTGATAGAATGTGGCATCTACCCTTTAATTTTGATTGTCTTGCTCAATGAGCTACTTAAATCTCATATTGTGTTGTTGGTGATGGACGTTACCGATTGAAAACGACAAGGAGAGAAGACAAATTGAAAATTCGTAAAGATTTGAAACAAGCTCCTAAGTGCTAATGAGTCGTGGCGCAAATATCAATGAACGAATGATATGTTAGTATGAGTAAATACTTTTTGGATATTTAAATTTGCTTGATAAGAACTTCCAAGTATCAATTTGCTACCAAATCTTGTGGAATCTTCAGTTAAGGGGAAATGAACTAATTCGTGATTAACATGATCCCAAAACCTCTATCAGGGCAACAATTAGCTTGCAAGCTTCCACAAGGAATCTTCTTGTTTAAAGTTGTTTCCTTTGATGTCAAAGAAACACTTAAGCGCCTAGAGAGGAGGGATAGGATGATGCATTTAAGTCTTACTTTTGTCGGTGGACCAAATTGTTGTCACAGTAAATTCCTATGTGTAGTCTCATTCGCGCGATTTAAAGGGTTAGCTGTCGAATCGATCTCAATAGTATTATTTGTATGAATAATGTTTATCGCGCGCTAATCGCACTACTTGGTGTCCACAAGGCTAGTGCAAAATTTAGTTGCGACTGTTAGAAAAATGTCACGTAATTTACCGTGACAACAAATTGTGAGTGTACAAGAGAACAAGAACATGGAGGCACGCAAAATAAGCCACGGGATTTAAGAGAGAGTTTAATTTGGGGGGCAAGTGATGAGCAATCCGAAAGCAACAGGTACATGTGGGAATACAGTCCCCTCCAATTATTAAACGCAGTTTTTTTGGGTCTCCGGTCAGGCAGGGGGGGACCGCCGCCGGCCCCATTTCTCACCCAGAATAATAAAACGACATGGACCCATGCAGAAAACGCCGCACTCCAGCAGCAGCCATCGCTGGGCCGCCACGCCAAGCGTCCCCACTCGATCGAATCCCTTTCCAGTTTTCGGATCGGTTTGCGGTGGCGCAAAACGCCGCGAATTACCATTTTGTGTGTGTTGGTTGGTTGTCGGCAGCTAGCTAGCACTTTGCATCATTGATCATTCGACTTGTCGTCCATAGCTCGATTTCCACCGTTTGCCAATCCAAAGAACTTGTTCTACTGTCGCCAGCGGGTTGCGGATACGGGACAACACCGTCGTAGCTAAGCAAGCAAGGTCTTCTCACGGTTCATTATGAATCTGAGTTCTCGGTTTTCACCACCGCTTTATCAATCTAGCTACAGATGGGATGTCCGTTATGAACTTATGATTGACTTATTATGAACTATATACTCTATTTCACTATTTGTAACATCTAGTAACGCGGAAAGAAAACAACACTTTGATTTACGTGGTTCGTGCCGATTAGAGTAATCGGCCTTACATCCACGAAGGACGGTCTCAAGTATTATTAGGTTGTAGTTCTTATTGTTGTGCCCTATGTTATGAACTGTACAAGTCGGCCACACACTCCTAATATACCCTCTTCACGTAGCTACTAGGGTAATTAGGTTACAAGGGAAAATTACAAAGTGATCCTCCAACTAACACAGTTCAACACTCCCCCTCAAGTTGACGCATGTAGATCACGGATACCCAATTTGGACAACAAGAACTGAAATTGTTCCGTCCCCAACCTCGTAGTGAATATGTCTGCCAACTGCAGGGAAGTATTGATCTTCTTCGGCTCAATCTCCTTCGAGGCGACACGTTCATGAACAAAGTAGCAGTTCATCTTCACATGTTTTGTTCGTTCGTGGAAGACTGGATTGGCTGCAATATGTAGAGCTGTCTGGTTATCGCAGTAGAGTGTTGTGGGACGTGTCTAAGGCACTCCTAGCTCTGTAAGAAGAAACCGAAGCCATAAGACTTCGCTCACTGTACTTGCCATCTGGGTCTGCTTCGGGTACCGTCGCTCCATGCATGCTGCGTATGCCCCCCCCCCCCCCTCCTCTCCCGACAGAATAAGTGGCTTCGCTTGAATTACTTCGTCAACTGGTGCAAAAGGTTCTCAATGAGACTCTTCCCATCGGTTCAGTGTTCTATCTTCACTACGGGTATGCCTATCTCTTCTTCTTTGCCTTGGTATCTTGATTTCGCCGCGTTAACCACATGACTATCTGTTGTTCTCTGTTTGTTGCTCTTAAACCAACATCTGTCGTTCAGTTGCAAGTGGGGTTTTTTTTTTTTACATTATGACACTTTCTTTTCATTACTTAAGGCAGAAGCCAACGGTTACAACAGAGGAGCAACAACATCTAAAATATGAATCCATTCCGGGGGCGATTGGTTCCTAACACAGGACCTTGCCACCCAGTTTGCTTTAGAGTTGAGCTTCCTACTGAAAAACTCGATACGAATCCATGGGTATGAACCACAAATGTGTCTGATGGTGCCAATCCATGCCGCAGCGCGCCACGGCCAAGAAACAGGGTCTCCTTGAACTGCTCTAACCAGTGAAAGGCAGTCTGAGCGAATAAGACAGGATGACCCGAGCTCGACAGCTAAACGAGTTCCCTCCAGGAGGGCCTTGGCTTCCACTTCAAGTGGGGAAAAGCAGTGTAGGGTGTCAGCCTTCCCGTTGCAAACTTGACCATGCCTGTTTGAAACAACAACGCCATAAGCCGCCTCCTGAGAATCGTGTAGGAACGATTCGTCATAGTGTATCTCAAAGTCATGAATACCTGGCGGTAGTGTAGACTGCTCAGGGGTTGGAGTGGGCTGAGGATGAGGATGGTTGATGCTACTTGTCTTCCTTTTTATAAGGCAATAGTGATACTGAGAAGAATGAGATTAAGCTTCCAAATGCTTTCCTAGTCTAGTTCCTAGTCTTGTCTCTATTGATCAATTAGCCAAAGATGATTGTTGTATTTTTGATTCGTGTGATTGTGTTGTACTGGACATGACAACGGGTAGTGGAAGGTCATAATAGATATCGATCATTAACCTTCGAGTTGTTGAAGAATTGAATTATGGTATTTACCCCAAATTAATTATTTACCAAAAAACTGGTGTCACTTTAATTCGTACACATCTCCGAAAGGCGACAGAATTGAAAGGTGTTCAGCTCCGTTTAAACTCAACCTCCGAACGGGAATCACCGAATCAGTCAACTGACTGTGCTGTGCGTTATGTTCTAGTTCAAATTTCAATAATCAATCGCAGTTAATTAATTAATTTTAATATTTCTTAAACTCCCATTCACCTGCATCGATAAAGCCACGTGCCGGTATCCCGAATTCCCAAACCATATAAGCCACTGTCGGTCGCCCACGCATCCCCGGCATCTCGCCCCTACACGTGCCAACTTCCTCCCAATCCTCTCCGCGCATCCCTTCTCACATTTCTTTCTACTCCAAAATCCCTCTCCCCGAAACTGGTGCAAATTTCCTTCCCCCCCCGCTTCAACCGCTTCCTTTCCGCCCTCTCTGCATTTCCTCCACTTTCCCAAATCCACCGAAGACCAGCCCCGCCGCCGCTACTTCCCGGCCGAATTTCGCCGCCAGAGGAACAGTAACCCTAGAGTCCAATTCCCTAATTACACTCTGCTCCGATGCTTCCACTCACCAATTCTCCGCCGCCGGAGTCCACCAAGATTAAAAAGCCCAAAATCGCCCCTGCCGATTTCATCCCGAGGAAGAATTCCTTCAGCTCTCTCACCTCCCTCCTCTCCCATGCCTACCTATCCCAGCCCCGCTCCTGGATCTTCGTCTTCGTCCTCTTCATCCAGATCCTCCTCCTCCTCACTCTCCGCTCCGTCCCCTTCCACTTCCACGGCTTCCACCGCCGCCTCCCGTCTTCTCCCAGTCCCGCCGCCGCTGTCTCTGAGCCAGTCGTCATTGCGTCCGCCGTCTCAGCAAGGTCCGACTCCGCCGCCTCCGTGGTGGTCGACGACGAGACTTACTCGCATCGCTGCGAGCAAGGGTACGTCTACGTTTACGATCTCCCGAGCAGCTTGAACACCGAATTGATCGAGAATTGCGAGAAATTGAACCCGTGGAGCTCGCGGTGCGACTCCCTGGCCAACGACGGGTTCGGGCAGCAGGCGGCGGCGGGAGTTTCCGGCATCGTACCGGCGGATTTGGCGCCGGCGTGGTTCTGGACCGATCAATTCGTGTCGGAGATCGTCTTCCACAACAGGATGATGAAGCACAGGTGCCGGACCGCCGAGCCGGGCAATGCGACGGCGTTTTACATCCCGTTCTACGCCGGTTTGGCAGTGGGGAGATTCCTGTGGCAGAATTTCAGCCCCAAGGACCGGGACCGGCACTGCGAGACGATGCTGAGCTGGGTGAAATCCCAGCCGCAGTTCCAGCGATCCAACGGCTGGGATCACTTCATCACCATGGGCCGGATCACATGGGATTTCCGCCGCTCCACCGATCAAGACTGGGGGTCGAGCTGCATCTACCTGCCGGGGATGAGAAACATCACGCGCCTCCTCATCGAGCGGAACCCCTGGGACTACTTCGACGTCGGCGTCCCTTACCCGACCGGATTCCACCCGAGATCCGACGCCGACGTCCTCCGGTGGCAGAAATTCGTCCGGGAGCGGAGCCGCCCCACGCTCTTCTCCTTCGCCGGAGCCACGCGCCACTCGTTTAAAAACGACTTCCGCGGCGTCCTCCTCCGCCACTGCCTCAACGAGTCGGACGCATGCCGCGTCGTCGACTGCGGCGGGTCCCGCTGCGCGAACGGCACCTCCGCCATCCTCGAAACGTTTCTCGACTCCGACTTCTGCCTCCAGCCGCGCGGGGACAGCTTCACGCGCCGGTCCATCTTCGATTGCATGATCGCCGGCGCAATCCCGGTGGTGTTCTGGCGGAGGACGGCGTACTACCAGTACGAGTGGTTCCTCCCCCACGATCCGAAGAGTTACTCTGTTTTCATCCACCGCGACGAGGTCAAGAACGGGACCTCGATTAGGAAAGTTCTCGACGGTTACAGCAGGGACGAAGTGAGGAGAATGCGGGAGAAGGTGATCGAGTACATCCCCAAGCTGGTGTACGCGAGGAACAGCGATGGGTTGGAGACGATTAAGGACGCCTTCGACGTCGCCGTGGATGGGGTGCTGAGGAGGTTCGAGGAACAGAGGGAAAGGGGTTACAAGTGGTAAATTGTAGGAGGAAGGTGAGGTTAGTTTTGGGCAATTTCTTCAATGGTGGTGTGGATCGGGTTGGGTAAATTCATTTATAGCTTTTTTGTACCTTTTTGTTGTTGTACAATGTACACTATACTCTGTTTTTGCTTTTTGGCCGGGAAACGGGTGGTGGGTCCGTGATTTTTTGTGCCGGAAAGTGAAGGGGAGGGAGAAAGCCATAAAGGCCATGGCTTCTCCGTTTGGGGTGATGATCGGAGCCGGTGCCGGAGAGTTGAACGGAAGGGGGAGGTGAATCGGGAGTTACTGCAGTTGTGTGTACAAAAATAATTTTGTTGTATTATGTGTTGAGCATGAGATTAAATTATGGAGATTGTTACTTTAATAAGTTTGGCTGATTCCTTGATTTTATATTGGCCTATTGGGTGGGTTTTTGTTTTGTTTGCTGTAACGAGGATTGGATGGTTCTGAATTCTTGATGAGGTTTGTGATGGGGACTACGAGTTTGGTAGGGTTCTTTCTTTGCTTGCTTTTCTAGATCGGCTTATTTTTCTGGTTGATATAAGTGGTGTCGGTGATGCTTGGTAGGTTGATAAATTCTTTAGGTAGACTCTGTAGTTTGACTAGGCTGAAGTAAACAATGGAGGTTTTGCATCTAGATGATTGAAATTGGGGCACAGCAATTCCTGGTTATGAGCTATGCTAAGAAGAAGCTGGAGCTATGAGTATGAGATCACATTATCATATTATCCCAATTATCCTAGCAAGTAGTAACTACATTGTCATAAGACCAATACCATCTACAAATTGTGATGATGTGTAATGCATACTAATGGTTAATGTAATCCTATTAATAATACTAAAATAAAGAGTTAGAACACAAAAATGACTTCACGTGGAACTCTATATGCGGGCTAGACGCGTGTCAATGCAGGTATTGGTCGAACCTCCAACTCTGCTCGTAAGTGTCAGACTCGACTTTTACCTACATCGGATGATCTGAAACCTATCAACAATGAATTTTATCCAATTTGTCTGGGTCGATTAGAACTGAGTAATCCGCTGGTTGGAGTACCACTAGTATCCCCCACATATCCATGGTCTCGTTAATTACGTGAAAGTTGATTTCTTTAGGGAAAGATTAGTTACTAACGATAATTAATTTGGTGCTTTATGGTGTCTAATCTCTTATTCTAATTTTGTTATGTAACTATCATTAGGACCGTCAATTTCACTACGCCAATCATTTGGATAATTTCCTAATTGGGAGATGAGTTTTGTGTTTTTTTGAACAACCAAGAAAGTTTAGGTTGTCAGGCTACCCTCTTCTTTTTTTTTTTTTTTTTTGTTGCATGATTAGTAGACCAAGGCCAAAGGGTTGAGGGATATACTGAACTTGTAATTTTCTGGGAATCAATCAAAGGAGTGTACTTCATTCTGCTGCATATGAAGCCCACGAACAACCCACCAACCAATTACATAAAATAAGCCGCCATGGCCCTGGTGCTGTTAGTTTTTCCAAAAAAGAGAGCTGCTCTTTTGTAAAGCTTTCACTTTTTTCTCGAGTTGCATGCTGATTGAGAGCGGTAATGCTTTGCTTGGCTTCACCTGCAAAAGCATATAATAACGGAGCTGGCTCGAGGAAACAACAAATCTGCGGTAAGGTATTGGCTTGGTGGGCCTGAGCGGAGAGAACCAATTTCTGGAAACGGAATCTCTTCCTCTCTTTCTCATTTCCTTTCCGGCGGTGGTCCCTTTTCAACAAAGAGTAGCCTCTGCAGGCAAATTCCTCCTAACCCCTTTTATAAAGACAATGAGTTTGGGGTAACTAACTTCTTTCAGTGGATTGGATTCATCGATTGGCTAGTCTTTGTTCGATGTCGTCCTTGAATAACGAATAATGTAGAGCGTAAACGTGAGCTACATAACATGTAATTCTTGAATTTGGACTTTGTCATGTCAAAACTTAAATGAAGAATTGAGTACTTCCCTCATATCACTAATCATATCTATGGAAGGTGGCAAGGGAATTGTTTCAGTATGGGGAAGTCCTTTTCACTGTCTGTTAATTGCCGGTCGCAGCTAAATGGAACAATGGGTTATGGAGAGAGCTTTATGGGCCAGGGGAATGGTGGGGCGGAGAGCTAGTTAATAATAAACTGAATAATTTTTTTTATATATTTTGTTGAATGGTAAACAAACTGAATATGCAATATGTGTGCAATAGTTGGACTTGTGGACTGCCTCAAGCCACAAAATACAAGGGCCAACCAATAATTGTACATTTTTCAAGTTTCGGTTGCAAATTGCAATCCAATCACGATCTCCATGTTTTTGCATTTTGGTGTATGAAAGGTTAACAGGTATTTACATTTTTCTTTTGAACTGATATATTTACATTTACTGTGACGGGTTACCTAATTGGTATTTAGTAACAAAAATATTATTGAAATGATGCTAAATAAACGTTATTTCCCACTAGCAATGTACTTCTTTTTTACTTATAAGTATTTGTTTTACACCAAAGCAGCCGCTAACCTATGGGTTTATTTATTCACTTTCACTTTCATTTCCATTTCTTATTTTTTGTTTTCATTCCATAAATATGGCAACGAGAGAAAACTTGGTTACTTTTCATTTTGTTTTTTTTTTTTCGTTTCCAACTCTGGAAACCTATAGTGGTAGCTTCCTACTGTTCTGAAAATGACAAAATGTTGCTTCCAACCTCTATTTTTCATATTTTAAACGAAAATTTTGTTTCTTCTTAAGATGAAGTGAAATATTTGAATGATACTACTCATAGCCATAAGTTTAATACTTTAATTTTTCTCTTTTACCAAATTTTTTTCCTTTTTATTAGATATAATTTTCACCTTAGAAATTATTTGAAATAAAATGAATCCAATAATTCATTTCAATTTAAAATTAATTACGGTGTGAAGTGTGAAATTCATTTAAAAATGAATTCCTATGTTTGGAATGTTATATTCTTATTTGTGTAAATTAATTAAATTAAATTCTCAAGTCATCTTTGGAACACATTTATAATTGAATTAAATGAAAACCTTCCAAATTATACCCTTAATTTAACAAATAAATTATCTAGATCATTCCTATGTTCGGAATGTTATATTCGGTACTTTTACTTTATCATTTTTATTAGTTACAGCATTCAAATTTTTCTTACTTTAATTTCAAACAATCTACCATCATTCAGGTTTCAATTTGATAATTAAAGAAAAGTTTTAGCTAAACAGGTTTCAGCTTTGGTTTCTAAAAAATGGTAGCTCCGTTTCAATCAAATTCTGTTTTCTTTTTTTTGTTACCACTTACCACCACAATTAGAGGAAACGAAAACGAAAATGAAGAGGCCGTATATGTCGGCCGATATAGAGTGGCCACTGGCCACCTCTAGCTGGGCCCAATATGGTTTTTTCATTGTGAGACCCATTAGTAATGAGCTAAAGGCCCATTAAACATTCACGGATCAAAGGAAGTTACTTCGGCGGAAAGGGGCGAGGGGCGAGGGTCCATCTACTTTCTTCCACAAGTCCTCTCCCCGTGAGGCTGACCACACCGCATAACTCTCCTCGTTACACGTTTGCACATTTCTCTGCGTCGAAAACTCCAACCACACCGTTCCCTCGAGGGCCTCGACAGTCGTACTCGCTCACTCACTCTCAATCGATGCAGCAGCAGAAGAAAATGGACGCGCCTCTTTCTTCTCTCCTTCTCTTCTCCGTCTTCGTCTTCTTCGTTTCCGTTTGCGCTGCCGCCGAATCCACCGCGACCGTTCAGCCTCATGCGATCGACTCGTTCAATCTCAGCTTGATTCAGGTACCGATCTTCTCCTGCTTAGTTATCTGAATCGTTTTCGCCGAGCGTAGAAGATGATCGAACTTCCTGTTGTGTCTGGGGAAACGCGGGGTAAAAGAACGTAGGGAGCTGTTCTTACACGGTGGATATAAGCACGAGCTGTTCTTCACCGGTGTACACTCGCGATCAAATCAGTATCTCCTTCGGGGACGCCTATGGCAACCAGGTCAGGGAACATTCTTCTCTCTCTCTGATTTCCGTTTACTGGCGTCGAATTTGATTTCTTTTACCTCTGAAATTTAAGGATTGAACTTGGTTGAGTGGAAAAGCGATGATCAATTTCTGTTTCGTAGGACCTTATTGCTTGATTATTGGAGCATCTGCGTGTATTTAGTTGAGCGATGATAGCTGTGAGTGAAAACAATTGTTTTTGAGGCAGTACTGAGAACACTGGCGACTGAGTTATTACATTGATTCTGAAGCTTCCTTTAACCTGGAGTTTCACCGGCATGATTATCTCTCATTTGCGTGGAGTTCCTTTGAAATGTTTTCTGAGAGAGATTAGGGTTCACTGTCCTGATCCCGGCATATGCCTGGAAGCTTCACTGAAGAGATAAAATGATTTTGTTTCAGTTATCGACCGATGTTTGGCGGCCTTATGATCCCGGCTACCAACATAAACATCTTTGATTTCATGCTGAAGTTATTGAATTTTTTCTGTTTGATTACCGATAATGGACAAGCATTGCTAGCTGGTTTATGGTATGTGAAAGCTAGCAAGCATTCAGTGAATGGAAGCTGTGCAGGACTTGTATTGATCTGATAGACTGTATATAGGGAAAACGATAAAGCCTTCTTCAGGCAAAGCGTCAGCTCGAACCAGCAACTTAATAGAACCAAGATATGTTATCTTACCGGATGTTATTTTCTTCTGTCAATTTCAGATTTATGCTCCAAGGATCGACGATCCAGCTTCAAAGGCATTTGAGAGATGCTCCTCCGACACATTTCAGATATCCGGGCCCTGTGCGTACCAGATCTGCTATGTTTACCTTTACAGAAGTGGACCGGATGGATGGAAGCCAGGGACTGTGAAGATCTACGGCTACAATTCGAAGGCTGCGACCTTCAATTACAACACCTACATTCCTGGCGATCTTTGGTACGGGTTCAACTTTTGTGGCAATGCTGCTGCCTCTGTAAGTTCAAGGCGCATTCCGGGATGGTTTGTGTTTGTGATTCTGTGGCTCTTTGGTAGTGCTGTGCTATGAATGGGAGAGCACATTTTAACATGGTGATTCTGTGGCTCTTCGGTGTTAATTGCTGGAGAGTTGCAGGATGATGAACTTGGGTTGGAAAATCTCTGTTGGTGTATGTGTACTTGTACTGGATTGTAAGTAGGATTGCTACCATAGTTGTAAAACTTAAGTAGAGTATATTTCTCTGATAAGTATCTTGCCTTTCTTTTCCCTGACTTGTTCATCTCATCATCTGGGAACTAGGCCATGTCACCGTGAAATTTACTGGGGAGTGGGGAGCTTTTTACTCTCATGGCAAATCTTACTCTGTGATTCGTCGTGTATAATTTCTGTTGATGTTGTCAGCAGCTAATTTTCGAGCGAGTGTTCGCTTCAGGAGACTGCGACGGCCTGAGAACAAGGTGGCAACTTCCTCTACTGGACAGAGAGACTTGTGCCAATTACCAAGGTGCCTGTCATAAATTACTTGCTCGTACATCAACTCTGCAATGATAAGAGTTTGTATGGACAACCACAACAGAAAACAAATCATAACTTCATTCCTGAAGTCTACATACCCGTTTTCATTTGTCAATGACTCAATGAGCTTCATCATCTATTCCCCTCCGCCCATATCAACGAATTCCCTTCGAACTTCAATTACTTGGTCCATGAACACATGTAATCATGTTAGCCCAAGTAAGAGAGAATCCAATGTCCTCATCTGTTAAAATTTATAAAATATAGGAACTGCAAGATCTTAATCGGATATTTTGGGCTTGTTTCTCTTTTGGTAGAAAGATGGACACTAATGCGTCCTATGTGTTAGTACTGACTAAACAACTTTGGTAATGCCTATTACATTATAAAAGGGATCCATTTATTAAGAGGATGTCAATAGGTCGGATTGGGCGGGTTTTGCCAAATTCAAATTCAAACCCATGACTATGAGTTTATCCACAAAAGAACTCAGGGTAAAACTCAAACCCAACCCAACCCGCTGGGTATCCGCGGGTTCATGGGTACCCGTGAGTTTTTGTGGTAAAAAGTTTACAATAACAAGTTTCTTTCAAAATAAAAGTCTTAACATCAATTTTCTCATGCAAATTCTACATACAAAAAATGTCAATATAGAGCATACAAGCAATTTGCAAATTATCAATACAAATTGTTCAAAATTGAAGATAAATATCTATAAACAACATGATTAATTGAAAGCTTCTTCCTCCTTGTCAACTAAGCTTCTTGACTCTCCACTCCATAATATCAACTTCATTCTACACAATTAGAAAGAACAAATTAGACATGTTTCTACAAACATAAAGAAGATTAGTTGTTTAAGAAATATATATCACTTAGAATATTAAATATACCAGAAAAATTAATTATATGGGTGTGAGCGGGTACCCATGGAGCAGGTATACCTAAACCCAAATCCAATCCAACCCGTGAACAATGTAGCGGGTTTAAACCCGAATCCGGCGCAAAACCCGTCAATACGAGTTTACCCGTGTTGACCGAATTGGATCGGGTATGATACCCAAGGGTTTAGATTTTGTTGCTATCCCTAAATAACACACAGATCATTCACATCAAATAGATGCATGCAAAAATCCACACTATTGTCTTTACTAGTTAAGTAATCAGTCGCAAAATTACATTCTATATATGGGATATTTGAACCCTCCAGTCACGATTCAACAGATGTTGAACTTGTTGGGCAAGGAGACCATAGTGGTGGCTGTCATCCCCGCAATTTTTCGTGTGGTTGAATCAAGCTTAAGTTGGATGTTCCCAGGTTACTTCCATCTCTGGTCTTTGTTTGAGAAGTGTCTTAAGGTTAATATATTTGTATGACCTAAATTTTTCACATAATAAACATTCTGACCAATTTTTTCGATCTATAACATTGTGGTCTGAACTATACAACAAAATAATGAAATTGGCCAAACTCGAAAATTGACCGTTATCTTTGACGGTCACGGTCAACGAGCCATGTCACCGCCAAATCAGGTCAGCAACTTTCACTTAAAAAAATCAAAAAATGGTTTTTCTTCAACACAACCACGAGTACACCCGAAATTCATTTTTCAATTTTTTTATTCAAAATGAAAAAATAAATAGTAATAGGTGGAAAATATAAAATTTTGTAAGTGAAAGTGTTGACTTGGCGGAAACGTGGCGCATTGACCGTCCAAGATAACAGTCAATTTTCGGGTTTGGTCAATTTCGTTACTTTGTTGTATAGTTCAAGTCACAATGTTATAAATCCAAAAGATTAGCCAACATGTTTATCATGCGAAAAGTAGAACAGATATTTTCATTGCGCCAAGTAGTGCCGTAGTGGGCCCCACAGCTGCTGATGTGGAGGCGCTAAACTCAGATATTTTCATTCTGCCAAACGGCAAGTGTTCTGAAAAGCCCAATAGATCCAACGGGCAACCAACACGAACTTCTAGGGTTTGACCATCGGACGGCCCAAACCTCCCACAGCCAAAGCATAAAACCAAAAACCCTAACCCCTTCTTCCTCCTTTTCCGTTTCTCTCCTGCTCCCTGCAATTAACTGCCACGAAATCCTCTCGTCGGCAGCAGGAGAAAAACGCTATAGAGGCGCCGCCAACAGCTCGCCTCCCCCTTTTGATTCGCTCCCCGTTCGCCGATATTACAGCTCATTCCTTCCTACCATGCCTTCAATTGCAATGGTGAACCAGTCGTCGGAGTCCGCTGACAAGAAGGAGAAGAGAATGAAGAAAATCGCTCTCGACGGATTGGAATCCGAGTCGGTGAAGAGTAAGAAGAAGAGCTCGAAGGTCTCTGATCAGGAAGAGGACGGGTATTCGGAGAAGAAGGAGAAGAAGAAGAAGGACAAAAAGAAGAGGAAGGCTGCGGAGATCGAGAGCGATGACGAGGAGAGGAGTGAGACGAGCTCGGAGCTGGGCGAGCCGGTGAATTTGAAGTCGGAGAAGAAGGGTGATAAGGGTAAGAAGGCGAAGGTTTCCGGCGGCGGCGAGGAAGAAGAAGAAGAGGAGGACGGTGAGGTTGAGGAGATGAAGCCGGAGGATCCTAACGCTGTGGCCAATTTCCGCATATCGGAGCCGCTGAAGATGAAGCTCAAGTCCAGGGGGATTGAGGCGTTGTTCCCTATTCAGGCGAGAACGTTTGATGATGTCTTCGATGGTTGTGATTTGGTCGGCAGGGCTCGTACTGGCCAGGTGAAATTTTCGACCTTTTCATTATTCTGCTTTGCTAATACTTCAGAACATTGTTTTTAGAGCTTACTTATGAGATTGTTTGTATACTAATTAATTGGAATGGTGCATTACTGCAGGGAAAGACGCTTGCTTTTATATTGCCCCTGTTGGAGTCTCTAGTTAACGGGCGTGCGAAAGCTTCCAGGAAGATGGGATATGGCAGGCCACCGAGTGTTCTTGTCCTTCTACCTACGAGGGAGTTGGCCGTTCAGGTAAAAATAGAGGCAGTTGGTTGCAGTGATCCAAGCTCATCATGTAAATGAGTACTTTGCTGATTCCCTTGCCTCTGGTTTCAGGTTTTTGAGGACTTTAAGGTCTATGGCGAGGCAATGGGTCTGACATCTTGCTGTTTATACGGTGGTTCTCCTTACAACCCCCAAGAATCCAGTTTAAAAAGAGGGGTGGATATAGTGGTTGGAACACCTGGGCGCATTAAGGTATAGCTGACCTCCTTTCAGTCTTGAAAGAGTTCTAATTTTTATGTGGATGGTCTTACTGACAATCACTTAAATGCAAATATCCACAGGATCACATTGAGCGGGGCAATATCAATTTTAGCTCCTTGGTATTCCGGGTCCTTGATGAAGCTGATGAAATGCTCAGAATGGGGTTTGTAGAGGATGTGGAGCTTATCCTAGGTACTATTTGTTTGTCGATGTTCTTAGTACTAGTGATCAGAATTGTGTAATTTGAAATTCAATTTCAGCTGCTCCTAGGATTTTGCAGCTTTTTTTAACGTTTGTTATGATGAGTGATGAGATATGGGAATTAACTGTATGTACATGACTTGCAGGAAAAGTGGAAGATGTCTCTAAAGTCCAGACACTTCTGTTCAGTGCTACCCTGCCTGAATGGGTTAAACATGTTAGTTTCTTACCCATGATAGTTGATTCTAATGCTTTGTAAATTGATTATTTAGAAGCTGCTAGTAACTTAACTCTTGATTCTCTTCATGACTGGAATTGTTGGTGTGCACATGTAGATTGCTTCGAAGTTCCTTAAACCGTCCAAGAAAACCATAGATCTTGTTGGCAATGAGAAGATGAAGGCTAGTACCAATGTAAGACACATTGTCCTTCCATGTTCTGCATCGGCTATACCTCAGTTAATCCCAGATGTCATCCGCTGTTACAGCAGGTGGGTTATGTACAATAGTGTTTCCTTTGTTTCTTATTCCATCCTTGATAGTTTTTCATATTCTTATAATTGTAACTGACAGCGAGTGTTTGTTGTTTCAGTGGTGGCCGTACTATCATTTTCACTGAGAAGAAGGATACTGCTAATCAACTTGCGGGCTTATTGCCTGGGGCTCGTCCTTTGCATGGTGACATACAACAATCTCAACGAGAGGTAAATTGTTCTCGTTTATGGAAGTAGTATGTATTATAAGATTTTCTTGTTATCTCATATGAACAAAGATCGTATGTTTGATGCAACACTAGACTTGGGTCATATGGAATCCTGAAGAAATACAGAATCATCTAATGGAATCCTCATTTTCTTTGCTAATTTCATTGCTGATTCCTTTAGGTGACTCTTTCTGGGTTTAAGTCTGGCAAGTTCATGACACTTGTTGCAACAAATGTGGCTGCAAGGGGATTGGATATCAATGATGTTCAATTGATCATCCAGGTATGCCAGGTTTTCATGGAAGTTTATGTGTAAATATGGTAAAGCTTAATATTACCTCTAATGGCGAACAAACTAATTTTGATCTCTATATCTCTAGTGTGAACCTCCTCGCGATGTTGAAGCTTATATTCATCGATCAGGACGTACAGGAAGAGCAGGTATCTATATTTAACTGTTGATATGGTTTACAGTTTACGCTACTGTTCCTCAGTCTGCATATGACGAAACTGACAATTTTTTTTTATCTCTTCGAAGGCAATACTGGGGTAGCTGTGATGCTCTTTGATCCTAGAAGGGCCAACATTTCCAAGATACAGAGGGAAGCCGGTATAAAATTTGAACATGTAGCTGCACCTCAAGCTGCTGATATTGCCCAATCTGTGGGTCTACAGGCAGCTCAGACGATAACCAAGGTTTCAGACAGGTATTATTCTTGTTCTTTCTTTTCTTTGTGACTGCACAAGTCTTCTGTTTTTTTTTTTTTTTTGCTGAAGGTTAGCTGTTTTGCAGTGTGATCCCTGCTTTTAAGGCTGCAGCTGAGGAACTTTTGAATTCTTCTGGTATGTCAGCTGTGGATCTCCTTGCTAAAGCACTGGCAAAGGCTTCTGTAAGTATTTGCCTTGGTTCTGGATAATTATCATTTTGAGTAAGGTCAGCTTGGATTCGTCATTCCATTTCTGCTGATACGCTAGTTTGAATTGTCATCTTGCAGGGTTATACCGAGATCAAGACTAGATCACTTCTGAGTTCCATGGAGAACCATGTTACTCTTCTTCTTGAGGCCGGAAAACCATTCTATTCTCAATCGTGAGCACTACTTCTTTAAGTCTTTTCTTTCTATGCAAGTTTTGAATGATAAACTATCTCGGTTCTCTATTTTTTTTGTTTGATTGGCTGACTTGTACATCTGGTTTATGAATTGGGCTGTCAGGTATGCTTATAGTACGCTGAAGAGATTCTTGCCGGAGGCTAAGGTCGAGTCAGTGAAAGGGTTTTCACTCACACTTGACGGGCAAGGTGCCGTCTTTGATGTGGCAGCGGAGGATGTTGACACCTTCCTCGCTGGGGCGGAAAATGCAGCTAACGTGAGCTTGGAGGTTGTGAAGACATTGCCTCCCCTACAAGAAAGAGACCAGTCCAGGCCAAGATTCGGTGGTGGCGGCGGTGGAGGCCGTGGGTATGGTGGTGGCCAGGGTGGTGGCGGGTTCAGATTTGGTGGCAGAGGTGGTGGCGGCAGAGGAGGTGGTGGTCGAGGTGGTTCCGGCGGTGGGTGGAGAGGTTCTTCGAAGAAATGGTGAGCTCGAGTCCGAGTACAGCTTTAACCCGTTTGAGTTGGACATGACAGGAGCAAGAGCTCGCGACCTGGAGTGCCGGGGGATTAATTGCTGATGATGACAACGAAAGCTTTTGAACTTATTGTGCGTTTCTTGTCTTTAAATTGGTTTGTAGCTGGCCATCTTTATTTTTTTTCTAATTTTCTGGGGATTTTTGAGCCTCTCCCCCTATTTGTTGAGCAATATTCTGGTAATGTAAGACGAATATCGAAGAAGTCATAATCTAAATATGAGAAGTATTATTATTAGCTTTTATTCTCTTCATCACTTCATGGACTGAAGTCGTAAACTGAATCAGCATCAGGTGAAGAGACGGAAAAGTCTATTTTGCCTCACCAATTGCGTTGCATGTCATTTGAAGAGAAGATTATATAAACAACTTTTTTTTATTGTCCTCAAAGTGAATTTTACATAACCGCCAAATGGTAAAAAAAAAAGAGTTATAACCACGCGTGTGATATTACCCCACAAATTGCCATGGCTGATTAATTTGGAAGGAATTTGGAAGGAATTTTACCTAACCTTGGGTATCTATTCACTTTAGGAGAGTTGGAAGGAATTTGCAAAAAAGCCCAATAGATCCAACGGGCAACCAACGCGAACTTCTAGGGTTTGACCATCTGACGGCCCAAACCTCCCACCGCCAAAGCATAAAACCAAAAACCCTAACCCCTTCTTCCTCCTTTTCCGTTTCTCTCCTGCTCCCTGCAATTAACTGCCACGAAATCCTCTCGTCGGCAGCAGGAGAAAAACGCTATAGAGGCGCCGCCAACAGCTCGCCTCCCCCTTTTGATTCGTTCCTCGTTCGCCGATATTACAGCTCATTCCTTCCTACCATGCCTTCAATTGCAATGGTGAACCAGTCGTCGGAGTCCGCTGACAAGAAGGAGAAGAGAATGAAGAAAATCGCTCTCGACGGATTGGAATCCGAGTCGGTGAAGAGTAAGAAGAAGAGCTCGAAGGTCTCTGATCAGGAAGAGGACGGGTATTCGGAGAAGAAGGAGAAGAAGAAGAAGGACAAAAAGAAGAGGAAGGCTGCGGAGATCGAGAGCGATGACGAGGAGAGGAGTGAGACGAGCTCGGAGTTGGGCGAGCCGGTGAATTTGAAGTCGGAGAAGAAGGGTGATAAGGGTAAGAAGGCGAAGGTTTCCGGCGGCGGTGAGGAAGAAGAAGAAGAGGAGGACGGTGAGGTTGAGGAGATGAAGCCGGAGGATCCTAACGCCGTGACCAATTTCCGCATATCGGAGCCGCTGAAGATGAAGCTCAAGTCCAGGGGGATTGAGGCGTTGTTCCCTATTCAGGCGAGAACGTTTGATGATGTCTTCGATGGTTGTGATTTGGTCGGCAGGGCTCGTACTGGCCAGGTGAAATTTTCGACCTTTTCATTATTCTGCTTTGCTAATACTTCAGAACATTGTTTTTAGAGCTTACTTATGAGATTGTTTGTATACTGATTAATTGGAATGGTGCATTACTGCAGGGAAAGACGCTTGCTTTTATATTGCCCCTATTGGAGTCTCTAGTTAACGGGCGTGCGAAAGCTTCCAGGAAGATGGGATATGGCAGGCCACCGAGTGTTCTTGTCCTTCTACCTACGAGGGAGTTGGCGGTTCAGGTAAAAATAAAGAGAGTTGGTTGCAGTGATCCAGGCTCATGTAAAGGAGTACTTTGCTGATTCCCCTGCCTTTTGTTTCAGGTTTTTGAGGACTTTAAGATCTATGGCGAGGCAATGGGTTTGACATCTTGCTGTTTATACGGTGGTTCTCCTTACAACCCCCAAGAATCCAGTTTAAAAAGAGGGGTGGATATAGTGGTTGGAACACCTGGGCGCATTAAGGTATAGCTGACCTCCTTTCAGTATTGAAAGAGTTCTAATTTTTATGTGGATGGTCTTACTGACAATCACTTAAATGCAAATATCCACAGGATCACATTGAGCGGGGAAATATAAATTTTAGCTCCTTGGTATTCCGGGTCCTTGATGAAGCTGATGAAATGCTCAGAATGGGGTTTGTAGAGGATGTGGAGCTTATCCTAGGTACTATTTGTTTGTGGATGTTCTTAGTACCAGTGATCAGAATTGTGTAATTTGAAATTCAATTTCAGCTGCACCTAGGATTTTGCAGCTTTTTTTAACGTTTGTAATGATGAGTGAAGAGATATGGGAATTAACTGTATGTACATGACTTGCAGGAAAAGTGGAAGATGTCACTAAAGTCCAGACACTTCTGTTCAGTGCTACCCTGCCTGAATGGGTTAAACATGTTAGTTTCTTACCCATGATAGTTGGTTCTAATGCTTTGTAAATTGATTATTTAGAAGCTGCCAGTAATTTAACTCTTGATTCTCTTCATGACTGGAATTGTTGCTGTGCACTTGTAGATTGCTTCGAAGTTCCTTAAACCGTCCAAGAAAACCATAGATCTTGTTGGTAATGAGAAAATGAAGGCTAGTACCAATGTAAGACACATCGTCCTTCCATGTTCTGCATCGGCTATACCTCAGTTGATCCCTGATGTCATCCGCTGTTACAGCAGGTGGGTTATGTACAATAGTGTTTTCTTTGTTTCTTATTCCATCCTTGATAGTTTTTCATATTCTTATAATTGTAACTGACAGCGAGTGTTTGTTGTTTCAGTGGTGGCCGTACTATCATTTTCACTGAGAAGAAGGATACTGCTAATCAACTTGCGGGGTTATTGCCTGGGGCTCGTCCTTTGCATGGTGACATACAACAATCTCAACGAGAGGTAAATTGTGCTCGTTTATAAGATTTTCTAGTTATCTCATATGAACAAAGATCGTATGTTTGATGCAACACTAGACTTGGGTCATATAGAATCCTGAAGAATACAGAATTATCTAATGGAATCCCTCATTTTCTTCGCTAATTTCATTGCTGATTCCTTTAGGTGACTCTTTCTGGGTTTAAGTCTGGCAAGTTCATGACACTTGTTGCAACAAATGTGGCTGCAAGGGGATTGGATATCAATGATGTTCAATTGATCATTCAGGTATGCCTGGTTTTCATGGAAGTTTATGTGTAAATATTGTAAAGCCTAATATTACCTCTAATGGCGAACAAACTAACTTTGATCTTTTTATCTCTAGTGTGAACCTCCACGCGATGTTGAAGCTTATATTCATCGATCAGGACGTACAGGAAGAGCAGGTATCTATTTAACTGTTGATATGGTTTACACTACTGTTCCTCAGTCTGCATATAACGAAACTGACATTTTTATTTTATCTCTTCGAAGGCAATACTGGGGTAGCTGTGATGCTCTTTGATCCTAGAAGGGCCAACATTTCCAAGATACAGAGGGAAGCTGGTATAAAATTTGAACATGTAGCTGCACCTCAAGCTGCTGATATTGCTCAATCTGTGGGTCTACAGGCAGCTCAGACGATAACCAAGGTTTCAGACAGGTAATTGTTCCTTCTTTTCTTTGTGAGTGCACAATTCTTCAGGTTTGTGTTTTTGCTGAAGGTGGTTAGCTGTTTTGCAGTGTGATCCCTGCTTTTAGGGCTGCAGCTGAGGAACTATTGAATTCTTCTGGTATGTCAGCTGTGGATCTCCTTGCTAAAGCATTGGCAAAGGCTTCTGTAAGTATTTTACCTAGGTTCTAGATGCTTCTCATTTCGAGCAATATCAGCTTGGATTTGTCGTTCCATTTCTGCTGACACTCTGGTTTGAATTGCCATCTTGCAGGGTTATACCGAGATCAAGACTAGATCACTTCTGAGTTCCATGGAGAACCATGTTACGCTTCTTCTTGAGGCTGGAAAACCATTCTATTCTCAATCGTGAGCACTGCTTCTTTAAGTCTTTTTTCTTTCTATACAAAGTTTAGAGTGTTAAACGATCTTGGTTTTGTCTATTTCTTGTTTGATTGGCTGACTTGTTCGTCTGGTTTATGAATTGGGGTGTTAGGTATGCTTATAGTACGCTGAAGAGATTTTTGCCGGAGGCGAAGGTTGAGTCAGTGAAGGGGTTCTCACTCACACTTGACGGGCAAGGTGCCGTCTTTGATGTGGCAGCAGAGGATGTGGACACATTCCTTGCTGGGGCGGAAAATGCAGCTAACGTGAGCTTGGAGGTTGTGAAGACATTGCCTCCCCTACAAGAAAGAGACCAGTCCAGGCCAAGATTTGGCGGCGGCGGTGGAGGCCGTGGGTATGGTGGTGGCCAGGGTGGTGGCGGGTTCAGATTTGGTGGCAGAGGTGGTGGCGGAGGCAGAGGAGGTGGTGGTCGGGGTGGTTCCGGCGGTGGGTGGAGAGGTTCTTCGAAGAAATGGTGAGCTCTAGTCCGAGTACAGGCTTTGACCCGTTTGAGTTCGACATGTCAGGAGCAGGAGCTCGCGACCTGGAGTGCCGGGGGATTAATTGCTGATGATGACAACGAAATCTTTCGAACTTATTGTGCGTTTCTTGTCTTTAAATTGGTTTGTAGCTGGCCATTTTTATTTTTTTTCTAATTTTCTGGGGATTTTTGAGCCTCTCCCCCTATTTGTTGAGCAATATTCTGGTAATGTAAGACGAATATCGAAGAAGTCTTAATCTAAATATGAGAAGTATTATTATTAGCTTTTAGTCTCTTCATCACTTCATGGACTGAAGTCGTAAACTGAATCAGCATCAGGTGAAGAGACGGAAAAGTCTATTTTGCCTCATCAATTGCGTTGCATGTCATCTGAAGAGAAGATTATAGGGTTATAGGTATAATATGCCCTCTATTATGACGTTTTATCAAACATGCTCATCTACTATTTTTTATATCAAACATGCCCCTGTACTTTGAAAAACTTATCAAACATACACTTTTGTTAAAATTTACATCCAAAAATCGTTAACCAAGACCGAAATTTGGTTTGGGCGACCCAAATATCTAAAATATCCCTAATAATTTCACTTTAGAGTTTTTTTTGTTCTTTTGTATAGCCAAATAATTCTAATAATTTCATTTTGACGAGACCTAGAGAAATAAAACAAGGGTCAAAACTGACATTTTCTCTTCCATTTATCGATGTCAGGTCGTCTAAATCTCGGTTCAACCATGATTGACGATTTTTTTCAATGGAAATTTCAGCCGAAGGGCATGTTTGCTAGTTTTTCCAAATTACAGGGGCATGTTTGATGTAAAAAATACTAGAGGGGCATGTTTGATAAAACGTCATAGTATAGGGGCATATTATCTGAATTGCTATTCGTCGCCCTAAAATTCAAATTTTATCGCCCTAAAACGCAACAAATTGACATATTTATCCCTCAACCCAATTTCAATTCTAAATAATAACCAAAAATCCCTACTCCCTTCCTCACCCCCAATCCAAAACCACCACCGCTCAAATCGAAGAACAGGCTTCGCCTGCTCCGTCGCCTCTACAAGCCGGCCCTCCGACGCTTCCCTTCATCATCCCAATCCAAATCCGCCGGCAGTGGCATGGACGTTGTTGATTCAAAACCAGCAGTACAAAAGCTCTGCAGCCATGGTTTCCCCAATATATACTTGAGGCGACTCCGTCCCCTGCCTCTATAAATAAGAACCCATTTCCGTCAACTTCTCTTCACCAAACTTTTACAATATCTCACCATCAACAACATTCATCAAGATCCCGAATTTCCCAGGTGTGTGACGGATGATATGGCATTATCATCAGACGAAATGAGTTGATTAGTTAATGATGAATGATGATGACGTTGACGATCCCTAAGGCCAGCTATAGCGAGGAGTACTGCTCAGCCTAGCACCGAGGTGACGCATAGGAGAGGATCCAAGAAGAACGTCGGCGCCGGAGGGAGGCGGTATCCAGCCAGTATTAATATTTTTGTTGAGATCGTAGTGCATAAACTGGTGCTCCAACGATGGTGGCTTCGTCCAAACACCCTGATTTTGATGATTTGGTGTTGGTGATGATCTTGATGATGATGATGATCAATTTCCATCCCTAGCGCTAGAGGCCTCCTTGACTTATTACTGTGAGTCATGTAATTTCCGTTTGCCATCTATAGCAGGAACGAATAGGGAATTTTGTTCTAAGGACATTAGAGTAAAATCCACTTATTTAGGGCGACGAATAAGAAATTTTAGTGCGACGAATAGCAATGCCCCATATTATACCTATAACCCAAGATTATATAAACAACTTTTTTTTATTGTCCTCAAAGTGAATTTTACATAACCGCCAAATGGTAAAAAAAAGAGTTATAACCACGCGTGTGATATTACCCCACAAATTGCCATGGCTGATTAATTTGGAAGGAATTTGGAAGGAATTTTACCTAACCTTGGGTATCTATTCACTTTAGGAGAGTTGGAAGGAATTTGCAAATAACCCTCCGTGGGGCAGCGGCCAAGCAGAGAGAGAGAGAGAGAGAGAGAGGGTGGGAGAGAGGATCAAAGATCGCAGCTTTTCTGTCTTCCTTCCAGTTCCAGATCTGAGACGGCCTTGCTTGACAGGGAGGGAGAGAGGGTAAAACTTCATCAGCTTCCCAGGGCCTGGGTTGATATGAAAGCCTAGAGATTGATGGCCGGAGTCAATTTTGCCCAAGAAGACATTGAGAGAGACGACAGAGCGACCCATCTTTGGGTAGCTGAAGCTGCGTGGATGAAACGAGGTAATTCATTCAAACATTTCAAATTTGATTTGATTTCATTTTACCCTACTCTGCCGTATGAATGGTTTAATCCTTTTTCCTCCTCCGATTAGGAGTAGTTGCTACCCTACTCTGCCGCTTCTTTTTCGGATTCGGATAGCAACAACTACATATAAATGAACTGACTTTGATGTATTCCAGATTCCGGCATCTTTTAAAATTGGGTCCAGGTTCCCTCAGCCATCCAATCTAGCTTAAGTTTTGAAGCCGGCGAACATGACGATGAGGGGGAAAACAAGGCAGAGCAGAAGAAGAAGAAGAAGCAGAGGAGGGTTATGCTTGGAGTGAGTTGCCCGGGGAGCTATTGGCTTTAGTCGACCAAAGGTTGATTAAATTACGACACCGAATCCGCTTTCGAGCAGTTTGTAAAAGATGGAGGAAGCAATTGGCAGAGATGCAGCCTATATTGTTCAATCAATCATCTCTTTCGCCGTTGCTGATGTTACCCTACTGCGGCAGCAGGAGCAATAGCAGTGACTGCGAAGATGCTGATTGTGGTTGCGGCAGCCAGGAACAAGGCTTGCAATGCCGTCTTTTCCTGGACATGGCGGGCAACCAGTACCACCACATTGATTTCGTGGAAGGCTTCGAGAAAATCTACTGTCGCGGATCAGCATTCGGATGGCTGTTTATGTTGCAGCACATCCCTCTGTTACTAAACCCCCTCACTGGGAAGCAGATCGCGCTCCCTCCCATTTCATCGTTTCCGGACATGTTGGAATATGACCCGGAAAAAGTCGGCCATGAGTATTTGGTCCAGTATCCCGATGGCTGCAAAATAGGAGCAGGCAAGAGATATTTGGAGTCCATGTACATGGCGAGGGTTGTAATGTCAGCTGATCCCGCTACTTCACAGGATGACTGCATTGTCATGGCCATCCGGACTAACAGTAATACAAGGTTAGCTTTCTGCAAACCCGGTGGGGACAAATGGACATTGATTCCCAATCCTGATGGCCACCCATCGATTTGCTTCAGGAACACACTGTTCTGGAGGAATCAATTCTATGCCGTTGACACCAAGGGCAAGGTATTGTGTTGTGATCTCTCTAATGATGCCGCCCCCAGGATGTCCTTTTTGGCTCCAGATGTTGATATTGTCGCTCATACTTTCTACTTGCTCGTTGGTCCAGCAGATGAGTTGATGCTGGTTACCAGATCTGTTGGCTATGAAAGAAATGATAATGATAATGCTGATGATGAAGATGAGGATTATGTCGATGATGATGAGGATTATGTCGATGATGAGGATTATGTCGATGACGAATTTGGATTCGTAGATGATGATGATCAACAAAGAGAAGTCGATGATCGGGATGTGAGTGATGACGACAGACAACGTGATCCGTTGGGTATTGTTTACCTAACTGATCTCGACTCAGATGGTGAGGTGGAAAGCTTTGGAACTCAGAACTATTGGACGACAGGTTTCATGGTTTACAGGCTCAATGAAGATACACATCAATGGGAGCATGTCCGTGACATTGGTGATTTCGCCTTCTTCTTGGGTTTTAATGCTTCTACATGTCGCTCGACTAAAGATTATCCGGGATTTAAATCGAATTGCATCTACTTTACAGATGATCATTCAAGTGCACACAGAAGACGGAGGTTTGGAGGTCATGATATGGGCATTTACAATCTTAGCAACGGTTCTGTTGAATCCATTCTCTCTTCTAACTTATACAAACATACTTTGATTTGGCCTCCACCCGTATGGATTTTACCTTAAGTTGGTTAATGAGAAGCAAATTTAGACAAATATCAGCGGGAAGTGTATCAATCCATTCTTCAACTTGATAATTGAATTGCCTTTCCAACACAATAAAGGTACCCTAGAAAGCTACTCCCCTGCTAGGGGTGGAAATCGGTACGGTATCGGTATCCTAATATCAAATACCGATTTTCGAATATCGAATTATATCCTAAAATCAATCCCAATCTCAATTCCTAATAAATTTCGTTATCCCAATCTCAATTCCTAATAAATTTCGGTATCCCAATCCCAATCCCTATATTTCGGTATCCCAATCGGTACTTCGGTATCCCAATCGGTATTATCGAATACAAAATTAATTAACATTACAATTAATAATTGTTGGGCCAAATATTGAGGCGCTTGGGCTCCAGGCCCATAGTAGCCTAAGACCCATTGCTGGGCCAAATAGTGAGACACTTGGGCTCCAAGCCCATAGTAACTCAAAGTCCGTAAAGAAACGAGTCGGGCCTGAGTAGGGGCAACGAGTCACCAAAACCCGCCAAAGGCGGTCTTTTCCTACAAATGCAGCGAGAACCGCCCAACATGGATGTATGACCGCCCGACATTAAGACATATGGATACTTGGTCCCGACCTTATCGGTACGGAGTCTGACTAAGGTACAGATAAGTCAGTACTGTTGAGGGCGTCCCAAGACCGCCCGACATAATGGCAAACGGAAACCTGGCTCTGACCTGATCAGTACGGAGTATGAAAAAGGTACGGAGTGGCCAGAACTGTCGAGGGCGTCCCAAGACGCCCGACGAGTCATTAAATGCCCATGATCCGCTTAGCACTAGTATAAATACTCAATTGCGAACCACATTGATGGTAACTTCTACCAACTCGATTCTCTCTCTTATTTACTCTCATTTCCACTTCTCTCTCTAACTTAAGCATCAGAGGAGGTCCCAGGAACCCCCTGAGGACCTTTCTGCAGGGTTTCGGAGACCGCCCTCGACCATCGAAGCCGCCCAAGGCCAGTGGAGTCTCACAAACCGCTTGGAACAATCCAAGCACAAACATTTTGGCGCCCACCGTGGGGCCCACGACTTTGTGGCGAACGAGATGGGAGACGACTTCGAAACCCCCCTCAAGGGGATGACCGAAAACAACACCCTCCGAGGCTTGTCACCGAGGGTCGAAGATGAAGCCGAGCTGGAAGAAGTAGTCAAGAGTCAACGAATGCAAATCGCGAGCATGCAAGATAGCCTTTCCCAAATCCTTAAGCTTCTAAAGACCCGAGACGACCCCGCCGAGGGATCGAAGGGGAAGGCACGTGACGAGAAGCTGAAAGGCGCTCTTATCCTCGACAGCCCCGCTCGGACGGAAGGCGGAGGACTAGAGGCCGACGACACGGATCTCAACTTTCTAGAGGAGCATTTGCGGTCAACCTTCGGGAAGCAAAAGAGCCCGAACGTCCTTCAGAACCCTTTATCGAAAGAACTCTTCAAGACTCCGGTCCCTCCCAACTTCTCCTCTTTGGGACTACCTACCTACGGCAAGACATCAGACCCCGCCGACCATCTTTGCGCATTCATGCTAAAAATGCAAATCATCAACGCAACAGACTCGGATCTGTGTCGTGCGTTCCCGGTTACCTTCAGCGGTCAATGCCGAACATGGTACACCTCCCTCCCGGAAGGGATTATAGAAAACTTTGAGCAGTTTGCAATGCTCTTCTCCACAAAATTCCCGTCTCAACGACGTCGCAAACTCACCGTCTCGGCACTCATAAATTGTCGGCAGAAGAAGGAAGAGTCGCTTGCCGAGTTCTACAACCGATGGAACGCGATAGCTTGCGAGATAGATGGCATCTCCCCAGTCGTGGCCGCCGGGAACCTCCGAATCTCGACGACTAGTCTCGAGCTGAAAAGAACACTGATAAAAAAGGAGGCGACCCTGACGGCCTGGTCCGATTTAGATCAATTGGTACGCCGAGCAATCTTATTGGAGGAAGCGCTAGCCAACGACGACCGAGGCCAGCAAGGCCGCCCCCGCGGAGAGGGAGGCGGTCCCCAGACCGTAGGTGGTACCGAAACAGGTACACTGATCGTGAGGGAAGAAGAGACGTGCTTTCCACCGATAGGGAAAGGGGCAGAGATCGGAAGAAAGGAGGCAGAAAGTATGACGCGTCTTCCGCTCAAGAGCCGCAGGAAGGAAAGAAGTGGTGCGACTGGCACCAAATTACAACCCATGACACCACAGAGTGTAGAGAGTTCAAGGCCACGCTCCGACACCTGGCCCCAGGAGACCTACGAATCAAGCTTGAAACAAGGCGGTCTCACAGAGAGCACTCGGCAGAAGAGCGTGAGGAGTCGCCGAGTCCTGAACAGGACAAGACGAGACGGATAAGAAAGGAGAGATCAAGATCCCGCTCTCGAAATAAGGTCGCCTCCCCTCTGAGGCAGTCTCCCCCCTACAGGGCACCCCGGAACGACGATGACAGAATGGAAGTCATAACAATCGCAGGAGGTCGAAAGCGCCCAAGAACCGAAGGAGACCGCATCGCCCAGTGCCTCAACGTGCAACGCAGAGCGCCGACAAAGGTTACCTTCTTGCCCTCTGAGTTAGCCAATGAAGAAAGCTCAGAAGACCCCTTGGTCATCTCCTTTCGAACCGCCAAATTCAAAATCACTTGGGCCCTAGTTGACAACGGAAGCTCGGCGGATATACTATTCTACTCGGCGCTCAAGGGAATGAAGAAGACCGTCCAAGATCTCCAACCCTCCAACACCAGCCTTGTAGGTTTTTCAGGAACGAAAGTCCGCGTCCTCGGTTCAATCACCCTCAAAGTCACTATAGGAGAGGGTGGAGTTACAAAGACCCGCCCGGTGGAATTCCACGTCGCGGACTGCCCTTCCGCCTACAATGCCATTTTAGGCCACGGTTTCCTCGCGACTTTCGAGGCGGTCGCCTCGACCTGCCATCAAATGCTGAAGTTCCCAAGTGGAAGCCTCACGGGTCGCGTCCGAGGTAATCCCAAGGATGCCAAGAAGTGCTACCAGGCGACGATCGAACATTTGGAGGTCGACCTGGTCGACGCAAGAGATGACGTACCTCGCCCGGAGGCAGTCGAGGGCGACGTGGCGGTCTCTCTCAACGAAGAAGAGCCAAGCAAAACCGTGCGCATCTCGACCCACTTGGCCGACGAGGAGGCTCAGAAATTGCTAACCCTCCTCCGAGAATTTCAGGACCTCTTCGCATGGGGACCGAAAGACATGCCAGGCGTCCCTCGCCGAGTCTCCGAGCATCGACTCTCCGTCAAGCCCAAAGCAAAGCCAATACAGCAGCGGAGGAGACACTTGTCTGTGGAAAAACAAAGGGCACTCGAGGAAGAGATAAGACGCCTCCTAAAGGCCGGCTTCATACGGGAAGTCCAATATCCCACCTGGCTCTCGAATCCCGTCTTTGTGCGCAAGGCCGGGGGCACCTGGAGGATGTGCATCGATTTCACCAGCCTCAATGCGGCGTGCCCCAAAGACGCATATCCTCTACCCCGCATCGACCAACTCATAGATGGAAGCACCAACCACGAGGCGCTCAGCTTCCTGGATATGTTCTCAGGCTACCACCAAATCAAGATGGCGGAAGACGACCAAGAGCTAACCGCATTCATGACACCCATGGGTAACTTTTGCTATGTGGTCATGCCGTTCGGGTTGAAAAATGCGGGAGCGACCTACCAGAGGATGGTCGACGCGGTCTTCAAAGACCAGATTGGACGAAACGTTGAGGCGTTCAACGGCAAAATGGCAAAATGGCCGCACTTGGGAGGTTCATCCCGCGGTCTGAAACCGCCAAAGACGATCAAGGAAATTCAGGCGTTCAACGGCAAAATGGCCGCACTTGGGAGGTTCATCCCGCGGTCGGTGGATAAGTGCTCACAATTTTTTCAGATGCTCAGAAAGTCAGCCTCAAAGCTCCGATGGAGTGCCGAATGCGACCAAGCATTCACCCTACTGACAAGTCAGCTAAGTTCCCCACCAGTCTTGAGCGCCCCCATGAGCGGGGAGCGACTCTACCTTTATCTAGCGGTCTCCGATCGAGCAGTGAGCTCCGTCCTGGTGCGGAGGGCAAAAGACGGTTCTGACCAGCCAGTGTACTATGTAAGCAAAGCTCTTCTCCCCGCCGAGACGAGATATATGCCCGTTGAGAAGGCGGTCCTTACTGTAGTTTCCGCAGCCCGAAAGTTAAGACCATACTTCCAGGAGCACCCCATCACTGTACTGACTAACCTTCCCCTCAAGAGCATCATGCGGGGCATGGACGCCTCCGGTAGGTTGACGAAGTGGGCGATCGAGCTCAGCGAGTTCGACATTGAGTACGCCCCAAGACCGGCCATCAAGGCCCAAGTGCTGGCCGACTTCATTGCCGAGGGATTCTCACTGGAAGGCGTTCCCTCCGAGGAGCGCAATCACATTTGGCGACTATCCATCGACGGGGCAGCAGGAAAAACCGCCTCCGGGGCAGGAATAATCATTGAATCGCCGGACGGTGTTATCCATGAAATCTCTCTGTGATTCAAGGACATCAAAACCAACAACGTTGCTGAATACGAGGCCCTCATCAATGGACTTCGCATACTCGCCACCTTGGGCGCTTCCGACGTGCATATATACCCAGACTCTCTCCTTAGTCAAGCAAGTGCATGAAGCGTTCGAGATCAAGGATGAGAAGCTGGCCGTCCTAGCTACCCAAGTGCGAAGCGCCCTCGCACAGCTAAGCTCTTGAAAGCTAGAGTATGTGCGGCGGGAAGACAACCAGCATGCTGACGCGCTTTCCAAACTGGCCACGGCCATGGACTTCGAAGGCAATCGGCATGTCACCGTCACCAAGGAGAAGGACCAACAAGAGGAGATCATGACCTTGGAGGAAGCAACCGATTGGAGGACACCCCTGATTCGATACCTGGAACAGGATATCACTCCCGTGCACCCGATCGAACGCAAGGCGCTCAAGTGTAAGGCGGTCC